GATTAAATGTCACTTACATCTTGATTTAACGAATTTTAAGCTATCCCTTTTGTCAATGAAATCTTGTCTAGATTGAAAAATGTTCATTATACTTTAAGTCATTCTCGTTTTCATTTGAATGTTAAGAGTTCCATTGACAGTAACATTTGAAAATAACATTTATGTTGATAGATGTTAGAAAGATAGAGTTTATTAGTTGGTTTAGTGTTACATTCTAATTTTGAGGTCTAGTATTGTTATTACTCGATTGCCTAGATTGAAGTGGGTCAAACAGGGTTGTAACTTGAGACTTAATGGCTGAAAGTCGAAAAGCTTAACTAGTGACCCAATACTTTACTATCTTGATTAGGAACTGGAACAAATGTGGATCTATTCTAGTTGGTGTATATCACATTTACACGATAGGTGGAAATTAACAAGTGGAAAAGAAAAAACTATCGAAATTATAAAATCGCTTGTGGTGGGACGTTTGACATAAGATTATAATTTTTAAAGATGAACGAATTATTTGTCATATTTAGGGAATTTCAACTGGAAAGTCTCCGCACGCTGTTCAGTTTTATAACAAATAACTTAGTAGATTAATGTCGTTTCTTATTCTGACCATCTCTAGACTAAAAACTGAACAAATTATGTTTTCCTTATATAACTCGAGTAGGTCATTTATCAAATAAACATTTATGTACTCGACCCTGAAGTACACCAGTTGTGACATTATTTGATTGTGGGGAACCAATGTAGAGGGAACAGCCTTCGCATCTGTGATCTATAGTTGAAAGCTCATTGATTTGACCATTAACCTACCGCTCTATATCGTATGTGTTGTGAGTTGTATTCTGTAATTTAAGCGTTATCAGTTGACTTAAAAAAATGGTATAATAATAATAATTTCTTATAACCGCTTACTCACTAAAATTTAGACATTTCGGACCATATTCTTTGTTCTTTTCTGGTTACACTACTGATGACTAAATTCACGAGATAATATTAAATTAAAATTATATGAACTCATTCTCTAGGTACACGGATATGAGCCACACTGCAAGTGTGAGGGCTAGTGGTAGCACCAAGTCCCTCAAATCGAAGTAGGTAGGGCGGGTTCAATACGGATCACCAAAGTAAGAGCAGCATTTCTACAGTTGAAGAACATATGGAACTCAAAATAACTGTCAACCAATATCAAAGTGAGAATCTTCAATACTAACATCAAGACAGTTCTCCTGTATGGAGTTGAAACTTGCAGACCATCACAACCATCATCAAAAACGCACAATTATTTCTAAACAGTTTTCTATGCGAGATAGTGAATGTCCATTGACCGGTGATATCAGCGACAACCTACTGTGGGAGAAAACGAACCAGCTTCCAGTTGAAGAGGAGATTAGGAAAAGACACTGGAGGTGGATGGGTCATACATTGGAGAAATCGTCAAACTGCATCCTGAGGCAAGTCTTAACTTGGAATCTTGAAGGGAAATGGAAAAGAGGAAGGCCAAAGAAAATACTGTGTCGAGAATTGGGAACAGACATGGAAAGGATAAATAGCAACTGGGAACAATTGGGAAGGATTGTTGAGGATAGGTTTGGACGGAAAATGTTGGTGGGCAGCGTATACACTTCCACGAAGGGTAACAGGTGTAAGTAAATATATTACTATGTGCGATAGTTAAAATTCTGACATTCAAAACATATTTCGAATAGAATGTATAGGACGATAAAATACGAATTATGAAAAAATCTGAAATTTTATTATATAGACGAAGACACAGAGTGAATACATTGTACCTACGCGACAGGTTTCCAGATATGTGTTACATAAGGTCTGTGTATAACCTCTAGTTATGTAGAAATTCATTGATAACATTAAATGATTATCACATTATCGTATATTGTCTGAATTTTAAATTGTGGACGATCAAATTCCAACTTAATACTTTCAAGATATTGTGCTCATTGTGAAATCTACATATCCGGAACTCGACACCTGGATTAGTCTTTAGTGTTCATTTTTGAAGATTTAGTTCTAGATTAGAATGAGCCATCAGTTCACTGCTCCATATTTTTTATTGGTTATTCAACCGATAACAGTTTTTTTTTACAAAAAATTCCTTAATATAATGAAAAATAACAATGTGTATTTATTTCATTTCACTCACATGTTTCACGCGCTCTATTTTATTCTCTTTGATCAATCCTGTTTTGAATATAAACAATTTGACAATATGCATAAATCACTGTTGATCATTATTATTATTGTTATTATTGGTATATATATATATATATATTAAACAGCTGTAGAGGTTAGATGTGGTGTAGCCCCATTCATTCGTTATCTCCATCTAATTTCACTGTATTCATTTTCTTTTTCAAACTATATTCTGATTATTTATTTTACCATTATATTAATAATGATTACAGTTTCCATTTCTTTGTCTTTCATATCGTTAGTTTACTCCCTTTCTCTATTTCTGATCATGCTGAGATTGTTAGTGTCAGAATGTAGATCGTAATTGTTTAAATCGTTGATAGTTTTTTTGTATGCTGTGTGTTTGCCCACTGGTCAAGTTTTTCGAATTTTAACCAAAACCTCATAAGTTCATTACCTTTTCTTCTTATTTCAGTTCAGGCAACTGATTAGTAGTTTTTGTAGTAATATTACCACAACCTCTCACAATTTAAGCGTTACTCGAAGACAAGTACACGATTCTATACAACCTTCTGAATGGTATTTTTAAGAAAAATAATATAGCACACTAGTATGATGCGTATTGTTCTGGTTAGGTGATTTTTTATCCTTATATAAATCTTGGTTATAACTATATGAACTTGCTACATCTTTGATCCGTTTACCCAGTAATATACAGAAGAGAACTTGTCTCGATCTAGGTAGAGGCCTTGACAAGATAGGCTAAGTGGCTCAACCTTGAGATTAGAAATGCGTGAATCGGAATTGAGACTGACGGTTTTGGGAAGAGAGATGAAACTGCTTTATCACCTTATTGGTCGACAGACAAGAGAGAAGACGAGTCAACTGGAATATTATTCGATTTATTCCTCATTCAGATATAAGTGAAAAAATATATAACACAACCACAACTCACAAACAATTAGAAGGATTTCATTGAAACCATAAACCGATCAGTATTAGACCACTATTGAATACCAGGAAGCACTGGACGCGCGACATCATGAATTGGTTGAAGTGAGACATTAACACCATTGGGTGCCGGCTCAGTCATTCAGAGGTTAAGTGTTCGTGTTCGAGACCGAAGGTCTTGGTTTTAATTCCCGATTGTGGGGTCGCAGGTGCACACTGCTGGGAAATCCCATAACAGGATGAAACGGCCATACAGTGCTTTCATATTTTCATTGGTGGTCTAACATTTATCGGTTTGTGATTTCGATGAAATTCAACAATCTCCACAACCACAAACTGAAAATTGGAAAGATCCGTGTCGGGTAGAGACAGTTATCTACCTCAGTACAATGGAAGGTGGTCGCGCAATTTCGTTGAATTGGTTGACGTTAGACACTAACACCATTGGATTCCGGCTCAGTGGTCTAATGGTTAAGTGCTCAGGTGCGAAGCCAGTAGGTCCTGAGTTCGAATCCCGCGGGGTGCGGGATCGTGGATGCGCACTGCTGAGGAGTCCCATACTAGGACGAAACGGCCGTCCAGTGCTTCCAGGTTTCCAACGGTGGTCTAACATCAATTAATTCATGATCTCAACCAAAAACTTAACAATCTCCACAACCCCCATACTGAGATACAACTATGTCGAAACTAGGCATTACAGTAGACAATTAGATCACAAAAGGTTACATTTAAATCACAATAATTTTGGAAGAGAACAAGATACGTCAGTCAATTATGCATTAAACAAAAGTTTATGGTTTACAGAATAGCTTAAAGGTAAAAATAAATGTTAATAGTTCGCAAACTTTGAATTAAGTGAATCAATGTCCTCAAAAATATCTTCCATTGTTTGTTATAACCTCTTTCTCTATTCACATCAAAACTGTAATGAGTTATAGAACTTTTCTTAATAATTAAACTTATATATATATATCATTGTAACATATGATTTGTTACTAGTTCATTTAGAATAAACCTGTTCAATCTGTAGACAATTGCGATATATATCATGTTTAAGATATCTTCATTAACCTTATAATTTAAAGGCATTACCCTTTATTTACAAAATACACTGTTTATTATTTGCATTCAAGTCATTAATTTTGATAATAAACATGTTATCCTGAATTATACTGCTGAGTTCTTTTTGTGAACATCTTGTCAAGTTTCATAAAACAGTGTATACTTCCTTATACAGTTCTGGCTACTAACCAAAAGCTATCACTCATACTATGTTTTTGTATGATCTTCTTGGATTATAGACTAACATTCAGTTAACATGAAAAGTGATAATCTGTAACTATTATCTTTCTTAGCCTAAGTTCTATCATTGTATATCTAGGAAATGTCAATAGAGCAATTAGAATACGTAATTGAAATTTAGGAAATAATAAAACTATGATCAACCACATTTGATAATGAGTGTGCTTATTCTATCATCTATTTATTTTCAATAAGTTATTTGATGATTGTTATGATCCATTATTCTAAGGAATAACGTACTAATAAAGTTGAATGGATTTGTTACTTTCAATATAAAAAAATTAATATCTAGGTATATGCCACAAGAATTGGATGGAACTAGAAAAGAAGGCCCAGGACAGAGTGAGTTGGAGAATGCTGGTTGGCGGTCTATGCTCCATTAGGAGTAACAGGCGTAAGAAGAAGAAGAATATCCCGCTTAAAAAGAAAAAAAATAAATTACAATCCTCGAATACAACAAAATGCATATTCTATTCAAATTGATTCAATTAACAATTTATCTATCAGAATATATATCACATGTCAGTAATTTTTATATAATCAAATGATGATTTTATTCTATTTTCTTATAAAGATATTGTTTTGTTTTCTATTTCATTTAGCTTCATATTTCATATGGTTCATTAGTAGCACGAGCTTTAAACTCAGAATGTACACGTCGTTTAATTGGTCGTTTTGATGCTAATAAAGAAATCATTACAAATATTCGTCAAACAGCATTTATTCTACGGTATTATATTTCATTTATATGTTTATATGTAATTTTATTCAATTAAATGTATTTCATTTATCTGACTCTTTTGATAATTTTTGAAGTACAACAAAAAGCTATAGTTTGATATAGAATAAATGAAATATGGTTGGCATTGGAAAGTAGGATGCGCTAAGTAGATAATTTGTTGGTGTTTGAAATGAACGGTACTAGTTTCGAATTCCAGAAAAAATATCAACCCTGGAATGAAAATAAATTCAATTGACGAGTCCCAAATTAGGTGAAACATACGTTCTAGATTCCAAATGTTAGTCACATTTCGTCTATTTTATATCAACTTGTATCTTAATGGAGATATATCAGGCCAATCCGCACAAGATGCTTATATGCCAACCAAAGCTGATTGAATTTTAGTATAAAAAATTATCAACAACGGGATAATCCAAGTCATTCCAAATTGAATTAAAAAAGAAATAATATCCATTTAAGAAAATGAATTGTTACTCTCATAACAAGCCTTCTCATCAATCGTAGTCTACTTTGACAATATTACTACACGTAAGATATGAGTGTTTTGAAGTCGTAAATCATATTACTTATGTTGGAAACTAGTGATTACTTAATTAGATGGTACAGTCCATAGAAAATTAAATGAATGATAAGTGAATCGGTAAAGAAGAAAAAGCTCTTTCATGGTAGTTAGTTTTTACTATAGCTGATGACTGTTTACTACGCTCCCGTTTTGTTTGTATGCAAAAGTATCTGAAGCTGAAGTGGAGCGGTAGAAACTTCTTTCTTTTTCGCTAACAATCGGAGATGTAGAATTCTCTGGATAATATATTCTATATCATATTTAATGAATTTTTTCACCAAGTATTCGTTTTTCAGAATCCTCTTTTCAGTAATTGTTTTATCTTTCAATAAACCTTATTTCGTTAAATAGTTTTAAATTTATAGAGATGCAAATGTTTTGATTCAGATCCTCGAAATGATAGAAATCGATTATCAGCCCATAATGATTGTGATATTTTTACAAAGGCCAAAATAATGCATGTATTAATGAATTTGACAATGTTATATGTTATAATAAATGGTGAACGTTTGCATCTGTTACGATATATATATATATATATATATATATATATATATATATATATATATATATATATATATATACTTCAAAATAGTGTTATTTGCAAATTAGATAGGTCATTTAATGAAGTACAGAATGATTTGGAGTAAAGTATTCAATCACAATCAGTATAGCAGTAATATAGCAAAAATGAAAAAGAATGAAAATCGTGTGAATAAAATACATGGTAGGAGAATTTCATCTTGTCAGTTGAGATAATAATGATAATAATAATACTGTTGTGTGAATATACTATGTAATAAGGGGGGTGTTATCAAGGTAATTACGATAAACGAATCGGGAATGATGGATATGAAGATTAAAATAGATATAATAAAAAAAAGAGACGGGCAGCTAGATTACGGCATCTCTACATAGCCGAAGGCATCTGGATCATCCTTCAGAAAACCAAACTTATGTATCCAGAAAACGTATATTCAGCCTCTACGAATGGATTACCGGATACCTAAACTGAATATTATAAACATCTTACCCCCTCTTTTTTTGATTACATCTATTTTGATCTTTACATCCATATATATATATATATATATATATATATATATATATATATATATCGTAACAGATGCAAACGTTCACCATTTATTATAACATAAAACATTGTCAAATTCATTAATACATGCATTATTTTGGCCTTTGTAAAAATATCACAATCATTATGGACTTATAACTATAGAGCCTGAAGATGAAGTAATTGAAAATAATTGTTCGCTCAAATATTGTTCATATTTTAATATTCTATGGGGATTTTTAAACTGCTGAAATCGGTTAATTTGAAATCTCTAATGATAACATAGTTTAAAGTCAATCACAGAGGGTAGTTGTATAATGTAATAATTAACAATATTGTTTGTATTTATCACAACAGAAATCCCAGATATAATCAAACTTATTGTAGTCACCACGACTGTGTGTGAGTGCATTTAAACCGTGATAAATACAGTAAATTAATGTGGGAATGTTATTGCATTAAAATATAAAAATAAAGCGAGTCACATTCTATGCAAAACCCTTTATCTTATATAAACAACCCACCTCATATTCACTTTAAACCCTATATATCTTGAATATCATTTAAATTACGAGCACATCTAAGTTGAACTATCATTGAAAACTTGAAAGCACTGGACAGCCGTTTCCTCTTAGCATGAGACTCCTCGGCAGTGCGCATCTATAACATCGCGCCTGGGAATCGAACTCATGACCTTTGGTTTTGAGCACGATCGCTTAACCTCTGGACAACTGGGTCAGCATGAAATGTTTTTAATCTTTAATTCCAATCAATCAACGATATTACACAGCTATCTGTCATTGTCTTCTGTGGGTACTCTCTTCACACCCGACTCTGTAGAACTATACGGTCCATATTAGGACGTAACGGCCGTCCGGTGCTTCCAGATTTTCAATGATTATGGAACTTAGATTGTTTCGTGGTTTCAATGAAATTTAACAATCTCAACAACTTTATACTAACAATACATTGAATATTTTATCGTTTCTTATATTTTTACATTGTTAATTGTTATCTTACTGTCTTTTTATAATTGATTATATTATTTATATGCTATTAATAAAAAGGTGACTGTTTGAGTTAGTACATGTTTATTCGGACTAGTGCGTTGGTGTGTCTTCCTGTTTATCTAGTTATCCTTCATTCGTTTCTAGTACCCTCATTCCTGTTACCTGTCGCAGTGTCCACTCCATTTACATCTTCATTTCCCAGTCTACTAGTAACTTATGAGTTGTAACATCCAAATCAAAACGTAAGATCAGACCATGGAGTTAACTATTGGACTAAGTTGTATAAATAGGTAGAGATTCCTTGGCCGAGGTTTACGCGATTAGAGATTACGGGTAACATGGCTTAGGATCATTCACAATGATGTATGTACATTCATTCTTTATCTTTCCCTAACTTCTAAATTTCATAGTAGTCTTCGATTTTTTTATCCAACAAATTCATATTTTTTCTTCGAATCCTATCATCTATGCCTAATTTTTTCTACTATCACGAATACCATTTCTTCTTGTCGTACTCTGATATCTCAATATGTTGATACGATATGGTAACTTGGATCAATGCACATTATATGCCAAACTTTACATTAAATACCTGTATATTAGTATTATACCTTTTCATTTACCCGTAATAGCGCTGAATTTGTGAAGGCTTCACATGTATTTATGATGTGTAGGAATAGAAAAACAATTAGATTCCTCTATCAAAGTCTTACTTTCCATGCTCATGCATTGTAAAATATTTACTAGATAGAATTTTCGAATAACATACATAGTAGTACGTAATATCTATTTATTTATTTAGTTTCTATTTTCGCTTTAAAATAAATTATCAAGCACAGAATATTCAGGATGAATTGATCTAAATATCGGCTGTCGATAAATATAGTATTTATTGTAGCATGGAATTTTTCTTGGTTGCGTCGAGAATGTTTAAAAAATGTGTTGACTTTTTTTAATCAGAACGATCAAGATAATGTCAGTCTTGTAGTGTTCGGTACATTGTTTGTAGCTTGCTACTTGGTTTTTCGATTTCTAATTATTTGTGTAATAGTAAAGTTTGGTTTTTGGCTACAGATAACTGAAACAAGCTGCTTTATACGTGATATTGATAATGATAGATCACAGAGTTTACGCGATCTGTGATCTGTAAAAATTGAACCCATTTATCAAATACAGGTTTATGAACTCGAATTTCAGCTACGCTTATGATTGTTAATTGACTACTCAAACTTAAGTGAATAAAGTGATCATGAATACTATTAAAAGTGTTACATAAATACCATCCAACAACCGCCTAAGACCTCATCCTACAGTGTGGGCTACTGTAGTAGTAAGTTGGAAGAAAACTAGGGACAGTCAAGTCAGAATATAGCATCAGTTTATAAAGTTGTTTATTGTTGAACTTTATCATAAATGAAGGCTCTGACTGCCTGGTTAAAGTTTATGCAATTATCTTAATCAATGGTTGGGAACGTTGATTGGCATGGCTCAAAATCGGTTACAATAGTGCAGATCCATTTACTGTCTGTCTCCCCTTAACTTTTGAACTTAGGAGTTGTTCTTAATTTTTATTCTGTGAATCCACTCTTTTCAAATTATATTGTTTATGACTAACCGCTTCTACTACTACTTATATTGTCACTGCTTTTACCACTCTGGTCCCGATAATTTCATCTCACAGTGCTAAACGGTGTGAAAATTTGATCTGATGCACTTGTATGGTAGGTTCTGAGTTGCCTATATTCTACTGCTCAAATCGAAATAGATACAATCGGGTTCAAACTTGTAATGTATTGATTAGAATTCCGATGCTCTAATAAAGGTCAACGATCTTAAGTATAAAGGTATAATGTACTCAATACGATAACAAGGACATAATGCTGTTATTTAAAGAAAAATATACATGGTGAATTGTTTTGTTGCGAAAAGTAAATTAGAAAGTAAGACATATCTTTAAAGTCAACTCCCGCCTTCTGTCTGCTTGATAAGACCCCTTCATTCAGTCTACAATACTATAGTTTCCAGTATGTCAGAATTAACTCAGGGTTAGTAGTTCATGCACGAGATCGAAGGTCCGAGTCTCTATCGAAAGGGGTCGTGGATGCGCACTGCTAAGGAGTCCCATATCAGTTCGGAACGGCTGTCCAGTGATTCCAGATTTTTAATGGTGCTCTAATATTGATCGGTTTATGATTTCCTGACCTTAGCTGCTACCTTGACGCGGTGGTCGGGCTTGCCTATCGTGATGACCCAACCGAGCTATATTGGCTCGGACATATGTTCCCGTAGCTTCTACCATGCCAGGCTGGTCGATTGGAGAACGGTAAGACTAAAAGCAGCAACTCAAGGTCTGAGGGCGGAGTCGTACTGCTGACTATAGAGGGGTGTGACAGCATTAAGGTGTTTCCATCAGACAAGCAGCATCTGCAGCGAGGCTGCCTTCCCACAAGGACGGGTGGGGTTAGAAAAGGTCGACCCTAAAAATGTCACACCTCACCTTACCTCACGGATTTTCGTCTCCGGCGGTAAAACCCTTTGAAGAACGGAGCTAATACGTCAAAAACCTCCCACAAAAAGGCCGTGCGCGACCGGCCTCAAGCAGTTGTCCCTTGGGCTCTGCAGTCGCGCTCCCAGGTCGTTAAGACCAACACTAATCCAATTTCCTTTTCAGGTTCCTCAATAAATACCCTTCCATGGTGTGGGCAGCCGGGACTGCCCCGACGTGTGATATTTCATTGTGTAGGAGTAGGTTGGAAGAAAGTTAGGGGCGACCAGACCAAAACATGACACAAGTCCATGAAGTCACTGACAAGTAGAGTGAGTCATATTGGTTGGTGTAGACTACCTGGTTGGGGTCTGCGAGATGATAACAACCGATGGTTAGCGACCCTGAATGACATGGCTCAAAATCGTTTGCAATGGTGCAGGTGCATCCACTCTTTGTGTTCTCCCAAATTCTAATCTTCTGAATTCTTCATGTCCCTTATTTTCTTTCCAAATTTATTTCACTGTATTATACTCTTTAAATAACATCTTCAAACCCTAGTGTTTCCGATTACTGCTTATAATTTTACTACCTCTACCAGTACGGGATTTGAATCGACCACTGCATCTCTGTGCTAATGTGATATGGTAACTTGAACTGATGTACGTACGTACGAAGTTCTGCGTTGTTACTGACTGACTGGTTTATGATTTCAATGAAATACCTTCAAATATATTTTTATGATTTGGTTCTTTATATTATATTTATCCATGATTTTTCGGATTAGTTAATAAATATAATCGGTTTTGATGGTTTTTTTTCTGTTAATTGCCAGCTGATCTGAGTCGTAAGCTTTCAAAAATTCTCTGGTCTTTTTATTTCTTCTATCCGAAATCTCAACAATTGTTGTTGTCATTTAAAAGCCTAACGAAAACTTCACAATGAAACTAGTAAAAAGAACGGATTTTTTATTATTTCTGATTATTCGGGAATGTTCTTTCAAACAATGACTGGATGGAATGTTTTTAACTCTTTCAGAGCTTCTTAGTGTCTCCTTGAGTTCAGCAGGAGCCATCCTCACATTCAGCGTTCAGACAATGAAACTAGTAAAAAGAACGGGTTTTTTTTTATTATTTCTAAGTATCCTGTTAATATCATGATCATGATTACACAATGTTTACTACATATATTATTATTAATCGATTTCTTTCCGTTTCTTTTCTTTTGGTTTTTGATATTTTAGTGAATATTTTCTTGATCCATGTTTATGTCGACCGTGTAAAACTGCTTATTCATGGTTTAAAATACCAGCTATGCTTTTAGCATGTTTTTGTCTATTAACATGGTTAAGTTTAGTTGGTCGTAGAGCATATTTACGTCGTAATAATTTGAATACACGTCCATATTGTTCACTATCTGATCTTACTTATACAACAACAAATAGACATCATTATCATCATACACGTTCATCACGTTCTGGACGTATTCGAACTGGTGGATTTTCTTCACCATTTAATATATGGGAAACAAGACCATATCGTTCAAATAGTATACATGGTATAGAAAATACGAATAATATGTCAAATTCAAATTGGTGTAATCTTTCTTCATGTATGTTATATTCACTTGATTATTTTCATTGCCTTATGTATAACCTTGTTTTTTGTTAGAATTGTAATTATTTTTTTTATTGCATCAATCTTACTTTATTGACAAAGAACTAGGTTAGATTTACTCTTTTATAGTTTACATCATGAATTGATTTTCAAGAAATAACCATTGAAAAGTAGGAAATACTGGAGATTTGCTCCATGCTTGTTAGCCTTTAGATCAGTTAATCTTCACACAATGGTTCACATTTCTAAATTCAATCGATTCGACATATTTCACTACCATTTTCTGACCCCATTAGTCATTGATGGTTAACTAATTAGTGTTCAACACGGTTGAACTCTGTTACCCTCACTAGAATTCATAAATGAAAAACCACTAGACAAATGTTTCGTTTTATGTTATGATTCCATAACTAATACTGACCTTCTTGTGCTCCCGGCATATAACTTTCTTACACATTACCATCAACTTACAAGCTTTTCACTGGATAAATAATAAGCCTAAATGTTGTATTACTTATATTTTTTAACTCCGAATGACTTATACTAAAACTTAACCATTAAAGAACCACTTTAAACGTTCGAGGAGACTTTACACCTTCATCTCGCCTGAAATCAGACCCAGAACATAAGTTTACATAAGTAAATTAATAAACTGTACATGTTAAATGTGAGGATGGCCCCTGGTGAACTCAAGGAAGCACTAAGAAGCTCTAAAAGAGTCAAAAACATTCCATCCAGTCATCATTTGAAAGAACATTCCCGAATCTCGGCGTATAGCTTCCCAATTGGACAAATACTAAAACCACCTCATGCAGATTGAATGATTGTAAGGATGATTTCGTTTTTATTATAAACTATAAATACTCGATTGTTTTGTATCATATTTAACTGGTTGGAATATGATTTCTTCCGCTCTCTCTCCTATTTTCTAACTTGCAACTTAAAGGATTCAAGCGTTAGAGTACTCAAGTTATACACGGTATAGTAAAAATTCAAGTTCTTGATTTAACAGTAAAATTGAGAATATCTTAAATTTTTCAACTAGGTCAATAAAATGTAATATTCCACAGATTAAATTCACTATATAATATTTGAATCAACCAACAACTTAAGTTCAATTTCATTCATGCTGTGTCAATCACTGCTTAATTGTGAAGTATACTGATTGTATATCATATAGGTCACAAAACTAGAACTAACAAGTTTTCTAACTGAATAATCAGAATCATACCATATGATTGAACAAAATATATTTAGCATAATCATTTATTATTATTATTATTATTATTATTATTACTTCATATATTTGTAAGTACAAAGATCATTATCATTATCATGAGCATAATGAATCGATAAAATGAAAAATATTCTATGGATCATTGAACATTGACTTCGACCGACAACACAATAATAGTTTGATAAAAGAAAGTAGTTTAATGCATTGCATTCTTTAATTCCTTAAAAAAAATAAGTTTTCGGTGAGTAAGACCATAATTTATAGACGACCTTTAAGTGATGATAAAGTATTAACCATCGTTTTCAGATGCTTCTAGAATGTTTAAGATTACTTACAGTTCGTAATTACATAAATTAACATGAGAATGAGTTTTGTGAAGATGTTAGTAATTTTAATAGTTGAGATCATGAATCAATTGAAGCTAGTTTCAAGTGAGAAGCAGTGATCAGTGGAGTTCAACCGGGTCAGTTGTGAGATAGTAACTCGCTGATGACAATGGTGGATGTATCGCTCAATTTCGTGGACTAATTGAATTTAGACATTAACACCGTTGGATGCCGGCTTAGTGGTTAAGTGCTCGCACGCGAGTTCAGTAGGTGCTGGGTTGGAATCCCGCGAGGCGAGGCCGTGGATGTGCACTGATGAGGAGTCCCTTAATAGGACGAAACGGTCTAGCTTTAATTGACTTATGATCTCAACTATTGAAATTACATAAATTAACCCTCAAAGTAAAGTGCTTTCATATTTCTTGTATTCTGTTTTTTTCTTTTTGCGATTCAAAGTTAAATATTTCTGTGGAATAGGAAAAGTTTAGGAATTCAATGTCAGTCGTGTTCAATGTAGAATATTTATCAGTAGCGAAAAAATATGTAATAGAACAACCTTCATACTCGTTATATCAATCTATGATATTAGTGTGTGACTGGTAAATTATAGTTTGACTTATGTAGAATGATTTAGTGTTCTTGATTCAACTAGTCAATCAATTAAATAGCTTACAAATCTGACATTTATATGCTTCGGTTCAAGTTACCACATCACATCATCCTGGCCAGATGAAATTATTAAGACAAGTATTAGAGTAACATAACTACTATCAATATTAATAGTGGCGTAAAAGATTAAACATAAACAATGTGACTCGGGAAAAAAAGTGAAATTGCACAACAAAAAGTATTAGATCATTTTAAAACTCGAGATCTAAAAGAAGGCAGATTGATTAGATCTGGGTCATTGCAACCCATTCTAAACTGTCAATCAATATCTCAACCCATTAATTATGACAATCTCGTAGACACTAACCCAATAATTTGCTCAGCCTAAAAGTTAATGACTTCATGAACTTGGTGTCATATCTTGGTTTAGTCGTCCCTATCTATTTTCCAACTTATTCCCAAACCAGGTAACATTGTACGTGGAGACAAGCAGTTTTTTGGCATACATCTTCTCTCAACTCTTCAACTTTAGATTATTCTATCCTAATAGAGTTACGAATCATTTTTACCATACTTCTCATTCACTATATTTAAAATTTAACATATACTATGATTGATATATCGAACTACATTACATTAATCCTATTTCCCAAATGCTTACTTACAAGAATGTATCATTATCAAATTTTAGAAACAAGGTTTCTCAACTCGGTAACAAGAAAAAAAACAAAAACAAGATACCTAAACACTATTCAAACTAATCTATTTTATTTTTGCAGTTTAACTAATCAAATACGTTCACAACAACAAAAATATGCTTTAAGTATGTCTTCTAATCTAGCAAATACCAATGTAGATTGTCTCAAATAGTTCTCCATTTAAAGATAGTTTTAACATCTACAAATTGTTAAAAAGATTTTACATTCAATAACTAAAATGATTAAATTAATATGAGGCAATAAAAATGTGTTGCTTTCAATTTAATTCAATTCTAAATACACCCTTCCTATTTCAATCAATACAAGAACAATGTCTTCTCTGATAATTTCCCTTTCTATTCTACAAGCATTGGACTCAATTTATTCATCAATCAATTGACATTAAATTAGACTAAGTTTGTTGGTTTGTACGAAAAAAATAATAATAAGCAAATACAAGATTAAAATATTGAAATTATGTGGGATGAAAAAGCACGATATAGGCTCAGATAAGGGATAAGATAATTGCTAACAACAACCAATCATATTTCATATTTACATGATAAATTACAAGAGACGTGTAGAGAGAACTATTCATACTTCATTTTTTTGTTCGATATTTAGTAAAACAATGATATTTTCACTATTAAGCCATTTTTTTCGTTTACTATTATCACAAATTATCAGCATTGAGTTGTGAATGGGATCATGAACTGATTAATGTTAGACCACCACTGAAAACCTAAAAGTAATGGACGGCCGTTTCGTCCCGGTATGGGACTCACCAATAGTGAGCATCCACGATCCCATATGTGTGGTTCGAACCTAAGACCTTCGGTCTTGTGCACGAACGCTTAACCTAGTGGATTGGTTGAAGTTAAACATTAGCACTGTTAGACGCCGGCTCAGTGGTCTAGAGGTTTGGCGTTCTCACTCGACATCGAAGGTTCTGCGTTCGAATCCTGTGTGCGGAATCATAGGTGTGCACTGCTAAGGAGTCCCAAATCAGGATGAAATGGCCGTGCAGTGCTCCCAGGTTTTAAATGGAGATTTAACATTGATCGGTTTACAGTCTCAATTATCGCAAATTATTCTGTTGAACTATAAATTTCAATATTGAACAGTAACAAAATGCCTAAAATAGTATGCAAAAGTGGTATCAATCCATAATAGAAGTACTTCAATATTAAGTATACAATTTAATATCATAGTTTGTAATTTTTCAAAAAAAATGCCTTAAAATGATTATTCATATTCAAAAGTCGGTATTCAAACAAAGACTAACGTATAAGTCATTTGTTTGATGAAGTATTATTTTGTAACAATTTATATCATATCACATTGATTTAGCTTTGTATTTCTTTCAAGTGAATTGGTACCGTTATTCAGTAAACACTTTTGATTTCATTTAAGTTAGTCACTATCACCATGACTCAGTACTATCACTTATAATTCTTCATGCCGAAGTAACAATATCAGATTGTTTGTAATAGTAACATTGTTTCATTTGTGATCTAGTGAGTGTTAAGAAACAGCTCTTTGAATTGATTACTTTCTGATAAGTGAATAGTTTCAGATGTGAGGAGAGTATACGACATCATTGTCTTACTCAGTGTCACTCATTTGCCGTATGTGAATTCGCGATTACAACTTTGAATCATTCTAGTTTCCTATGAAGACTAATAATAATAATATTAACCGACGTATGTGAAATATAGTTAGAACTCATTGGTTGAGACCCGAGTGCTTCAGTCACTAAGCCCCCAATGCACCATCTGTTTTGCGCCATAGTTCGTTAATTAACGCTCACTTTTCGTGCTGAACAGACTATTATACAGCTATTGATTCCATGTTACAGCCCTGTTTTGTTATATAACACATGTATCACCCGATTTCATCATTGATAAACTCATCTACTATTAACACCCAAAACTTTGCTTCACAAAATAATGAAAGAACGTCTAGGGATCCGTTCTATTGATGTAACTCTCCGTTTTTTTAACCGCACTTTGAATATGTGTCCGTTTCAGGCTGGTGTTACCGTTCGGTTATGTTGTAACAAGTAGACTGCAGGTTTTGATAAGCAGCGTTTATATCGACCGATTACAGTGACACGTAAAACACGTAAGGACGACCTAGAGTCCCGATTGGCCCCGCTTCCCTGTCTAGCCCAGCCAGTTGAGTCCAGAACACAAGTCACAGCCTCTGAGTTATGAATCATTGTATTTCAGCCATACGCTGTTTATATATTAACCAAACAGACCACATCGTACCATAAAAATAGAAAACAACATTTGTACAATATTTAACGAATGAAATAAATAATGGCCAATAGGAAATGTTCATTTAACGTCCAAGGACATCATTAGACTTAACATGATAATGATTGGCACATTATTCCTCAGCATCCCTAACAGGTTATTTAAAACCAGGTAGATTGGAAAATTGGAAATCAAATGCTTCAGTTACTAAGTGACCGACCATCTTACCTTATTTCCGCAACTGTATCATTACTACTGGTTTATACACTTAACATCATTTCTTACTGTTTCCGACCAAACTATAAGAATTGTTTCAATGTCAATCAGTCAGACGTAGGACTAAAGTTATGTACGGTTACTGAAATGCACATTTTTTAAAACAATTCGAAATAGTAGATATGTCTTCAGATCGTTTGTTTTAAATATGTTACATTTATCACAAACATGTATTTATTACATCAAAAAGGATTTGTGAACGGTTGAACTTTCAGAAATACCGTAGTGGAAATTACTGCATAATTATTAGGTGCTTAGTTTATTACATTTTCATCATATTCTCCTATTTTTAATCTTTCATTCGACCAATAAACCGTTGTTGTGTGTCTTATTGTTCCAGATTTACCAATGATTAATTATTTCCTTATTATTCCGATTTAATATCAAATTGTAATTTTCTATTTGTCTTACCATGCGCTCAGGTATTTATGAAGCATATCATTGTATGAGATATAAGCCTTAGTTGAACAAAGTACAAAAGATAACTAATCTGCTTCCTATTTTCGTCTTCTGACTGGACCATTGGATTAGCAGCTGAAATACCGATAAGCTTTAAGGCCTTCATTGGTGTTCATTAGCCTCTGCATCATTTGATAAATCAGTCACAGCTCCTACAGGCGATATAGGCAAATTAATGTATTATTGGACTAGACAATACAATTTTCTCCATAATACACTGGTTGATCACAATTCGATTTTAGAACCTGTGTTCATTTTTGTTCTCATAACAGTATTGTTATATAGCAGCATGGGCTGTTCGTTACGCTGAATTATTTGGACGTCTTTTTTATTTCTAATTAATTAAATACATTAGGGCTAGTATTGTCTAATGTTCCTACCTTTAACTTACTCCCTTATCAACATTATTGTTTATTTTCTATAGATTTTGGACGACCTAATGTTCTCTGTTCTGATGGATTTCGTACTACACCTCCACCACCCGCTTATTCCAGTTTAAAGCATATCATTCAACCACCACCAGCTTATTCAGAAATCCAATCTACTAATGATCTACTAGCTAAACAATGTGTTAATACATCAACGTCAATAACCACTACTTTAAATATAGGAAATCCAACAGAAATCGAACAATCACAACTTGAATCAATGCATATAACATCATCACCTAATATTACTACTACTACGACTACTACTACCACCAACACAAATTCCCCGCCTTCTTATTCTGAAGTTGTTTTATCACGTTCCAATAATTCGAATAACTATCAGATCAGTGATAGCAATTCATCTTCAAATACTAATGAAACAGACACAACATACACATCGAATCTTGATACATCGAGTACAACCACAAATTAATGAATAATACAAATTCCCTCTCTCTCTCTCTCTCTCTCGTTTTTTCTCTCTTTTGTTATTAGAAAAACAAGCAGCAATTGTTATTCGATTAAAAACAAAAACTATATATGAATTATCAGATTTTTTCCGTCTCTCTCTATTCAATAGTCTCAAAATATTTATTCTCTTTCTTTTTCAAATGCCAAACAAACCACTGCATAGTTTTCTTATTTGAATTCAATGTTTCAGTGTGTGTTTTTTTCTATGGAAACTTTTTTCTCTCTCTCTCTCTCTTCCTAGCAACTTTATTTTTCTTTTGTTTTGTTTTGTTTTTTGATTAAACATATTTGATGAATGAATATTAATCTGTGATGCTTTATTATTTTTTTTTCTCTGTTCAGTTTTATTTTCTTTTTGTTTTTGCAAATGTTGTATATTTTATACAAGCGTAGATACGTCAAATTGTAATACTATTATGATTTTCTCTGTTTTCAACATAACTAAGATCTATTAATGCTATTTATTTTGGTTAACTCCGCTTTCACATTCTTTATTCATCTTCTTCTATTGAACGTGTACAAAAAATAAAACTAATTTCAATATTATATATACATATATATTCCAAATGCTGATCGGTTTTTCTCGTCTTCATTTGTATGGTTATTATATCAACAATGGGGTAATTTAAAGCATAACACATTCCATTGACATTCTTATCCATTGCAAAAATTGATTGACTATTTGGACTCAATAGCTAAGTGGATAATGCGTTGGCGTTTGAAGTGAATGATACTGAGTTCGATTCCTTAGGTGAATTCCAAATTTAAGATGTAAGTAAATCTAGTTAAAGAGTCCCAAATCGGACGAAACACGCGTCCTAAATTTCACTGTTAGCCATATTCCATGTATTCTGTATTAAATTGTTATCGATTTAAGTAACTAGACATTTCACTAATTTGGGCTTAATATGTGCATTAGTTCTAAAAATATTCTGATTACGACTGGTTTAGGCTGAAGTTTCGGATTTGGAGGCGTGGGTGACTAACGACTTTAGTGGAGTTATTGAGATATGACCTTTCAGTTGTGAAGATTCGGACGTGATTTTAAATTTAGAAAATTTTGTCCAAATATCAATAATTAGTTTAGACAAACAAATATTTATTGTAAATATGAATTTAAGAGTAAAACTTGAATTGAGGTTAAAATCCTTATTAATAGTTTAGTCACAAAGCTTAGGGTTATTCGAAAATGCTCAATCTAGAGTTATTTTTTTATCACGGAATGTCTTTATTGAAAGAACCATTGGGTCGTTTGGTATACGCTGTTTTGAAGTTCCAAGTAAAGACAAAGTAGTGTTAGGCTGGGTCAGTCAGACATGCCAGCTCAAAACAAAATAATAGGTAACAGATTTTGATAGGTGGACGCCATTGGACGAGATTAGATTCATCTATGTAAGAACCATATCTCTTCATCAATGAACGTACATACTCCTCTTCGGTTAGCCAATAAAGCTTCCTATTTATTCCTTATTTTACCCACTGAAATCGCGCTCGCGTATACATAGTACGGATGAAATAATCGGGCGACTGCCTAACACAACGAAGTTCTCCCATGATTGTTTGTTTCTACTGGTTCTTTAGCTGATAATATAATTTAAATTCAAGGCAATAATTATATCTGTAAAATAAATATATTAAGTGAATTTCCATATTAGTATAAAACAATCGCATTCTCTTTTTGATGGAGTTTTATTCTCTAAGCTGGATGATTTGGTCGTGGATTTTTCATCGTTCTTCTGAACAACATCATCAGCACAAACTTCAGGTAGAAGTGAAGTGTTTGAATTTCTCCACATATGATTCACAACTTGTCCTGTAGACCTCGATGTTGGAAGATGCAACCAAAACAAAGAAGTAAACAATGACAAGTTTAAGTTCAACAAGAACCATTTCAAAATCGTATCATCATCAGAATATCATTTATATCAATATACTTACCTTCATATATATATTTTTCATAAATAACTTGTACATTAAAATAACCTTGTCTGAATATTCACTTCAAATGGAACAAAACATATATTAAACAATCTTAAAATACAATTGATTTCATATTTTACTTATGTTCGTTATAAAAGATTTCCAGTAAATATTTATCTCCAGGGCACTAATATTCATTCTTACTTTATTTTAACAAACATTTCTGTTGACCTGGTTTCCTTTTTTTTAAACAAAAAGATTGTCTTATGATGCATATTGTTTATACAGATTTGTAATCTTGAATGGTTCAATAATGACTGACATAAATAAAGTTATTAGTTATGGAATTAGATTAACTAAAAATAAACTAGTAACTTTCTAATGACTAATTGAAATGAATGATCTGAATTTCTTGTTATTGACATAAGCAAGATCTAAAAGTGTTGATGTTTAATCTTTTGCAAATTGTTAAGTGTACAATATTAAAGAATTATGAATTTGAATAAAACAGTTATCCGATATTATTTGGAATTTTAACAATTTAATAATAGATTTCAGGGCGAGACTCTAATTTATGGAAGAGCCAATCAGAGGCGTCTGAAGGATTTCAAGGTTATGGCGCCAACTTCAGTGCTTAATGCTAACGTACGATGGATTCACAAAGAATTTTGTACAAAACCTGATAATTGAGCGGCTATAACAAATAAATCGGCGAGACTATAATTTGTAGACGAATCAATCAGGTATAAGATAATATATCTCGGATTTGAACACGAAAGCCTTTCATCCATTAGGCTTAGTAGATTTCTGGAATTATAGCTGACGTCAGTTCGTGATGAAAACCCCATATATTATTCATAACTGAGGTAAATTATGACAATTATCGCGAACTGGATAATAAAATCACCAGTAACATTGGCTGCAACCAGGTACTACAATATATACGCATGTTTGGAGAGAGTACAGACTCCTACATAGACTTGGTTATGTTCACCTTATCGCTATCCACAAGTGGCATTTTGTGCACTCAACAACCGGAGTGCACATAAACAATTTTGAAGCTATGTGTTCGAGGCTGAAAGAGTATTTGTGACTGTCGTGACTCCAGAGTCCGACTATTCTGTAGCCGTATGGATGACACTTTACAAATGAAGTATTTATTTTATGGTACTCAGATTTTACTAAGGTGTACTGTAATTTTCTATTCCAATATATTCAATTGTCCCTACTTGTGTTCTCGTTCACTACAGTATAATATATTGGTTTACATATAAATCCTTATTACCTATTCACTGATTATCATCATTTAAATCGAATGATTTTTTTAGTTGATTATTACTTGGTTACTTATTTAAGTCGATGAATTTAAAGCAATCCACAACGTTGTTTACAGAAATTTCTATCACAATCAGATTACTGTTCATGAATAAATTGACTGACACTTTATATTATAATAGAACAATAGATATAAATGTAATCTTTTCAACTATAATGAACTTTACCTTGATTGTATTGTTATTATTTTCAGCATATTCGTTGTTGAAGCCCTGATTTTTAATAAAACATTGGTAACAAGTTGTCCCCTGTAGAGACTAAGTTTGATAGTATCTTACAAATGGTGTAGTGAATGAGAACACAAATGGGGAAAATCGAATGTATTGGGATAGAAAATTACAGGTCATCTTAGTAAAATCTGAGAAACAGACACTAAATATTTCATTTGCAAAATGTTAATCAGTCGTCTCAGACTTTACTATTCCTTGATTTCGACAGCAATCGTCCTCTGTTCTCGTTCTCTTTTCTTTGATCTTCATAACCTTCTGCCTCCAGTTATTTCACGTTCGATTGATTATATATACTACTTATATCTGTTGACATCGGTAGCGCACACCACAATATAACTGAATAACAAATTAAGATGATAATTATCTTTCTGTTAATCCATTTATTCCAAGTGAAACATTCTTTTTAAATAAATCCATCTGAACGTTCAAATAATACAAGTGGTCATCCTCTGGTACATTCACAAAACCAAAAAAATGACTTATTGCAACCACCAAAATTCAAGTATTTTATCTGGAAGCAGAAAATGATCTAAAAAAACCAAAATCAGTCTGACTTAGCCTGATCACGTCGTTTTTCTGTATACGGTACGAAGTTTCATTGAGTCATTCACAGCCCATGGTCATAACTATTGTAAAGTACTATTGTGGTTACACATCTGTGGTACCATCAAATAGCAACAAATATCAAAAAATTCGAAATACTCCAACAATCAAACTTTTACGTGTTACAAAATAACGAGCTATACAGCAAACGTTTTCATTAAATACAAAATTTACGTACATTAAAATCAACAGGAATATTCTCAATGAAATGGAATAAACACTGTCTCAATGAATCAGGCTATAGCGACTCACGTGCAAATGAGTTTAGTCTCATCTAACGCAGTTAAGCCCTTTTGCTAACTCATTTAGCGGACAAAGTCATCCGCACTATAACAACTTATTGTACCCTTATTATTTTGTGCTTGTACGAAATACGTATGCTTGAATATTGCTTACGGTCTACGCATTTATTCACTCTGCTAGTCTTACTACTAACTGATTATTTGATTCGATTACTCATTCATTTCACATGCTATATATATGTCCGTGTTATTCATACTCACTTACTCACACACTCTGGTCTCGCTATTGCTATGGCTCTCGCTCGCTTGCTTGCCTTTCGGCACAACTCTTCTATGCTTACTTAACGCATCTGTACATTTGGATATATGTGTGTGGTCTCGTAATAAACGTAATCAACACTTCGTATTTGCCTTCTGATTAATATACCGTTGGGACGTTATGTAGAACGGTTATCAAGACGAGCTGTATACGAAGTTTAAAGATTATATCGAATACCGACCACCACAAGGCCAAGCAACAAAAGTTCACCGTAGACATGTGGAGATAGTTACGACAAGCTTATTTTATAATTAGCTTTTTATACTATTTACATTTCTTTCATTAATTCCCATAATTTGTAAATTTACTATGAGTGACTGTAAAATAATTGTTTAAAAACTCATGACCTTGATTTTTCCTTCTCCGTTTTGAACCCCTAATAGAACGACACACTAATAACCGCTCATAAATACACTGATACACACATATATTTCTGATTCTCGATTTTCTGTTGTCATGATAACTGACCTCTAATGTTTTTTTATCTACATTTAAAGGCAACTGCCATATTCTCATTATATACTTCATCTGGATATACAGCTCAAATTATAGAAATCTTTAGTGGAATTATTGACTACTTGTAATCGTGGATTATTATACCGAACGTAACTCGAACACTTCAAGTCGTGACAATTTAAGTAACGTCCAGTAAACATGTCCCTATCAATGACTATAATTCTTGTATGTTATTCAAAGATAGATCTGAACAGCTCTTTAATATGCTTTCACCAGAGCTTTCGAAAACCAGGTTGATCTTTTCGATAATTGTTACTGATTACGTTAATATGCGAAAATGAGACTAAGCACTACAGATTGAACATGAACTGTATATAATCAGCTGATCATTGATTTCCGCAACTCACAATGAGCTGGTGACATATTTGTGGCAGATGAAACTAACTACTGCTCGGGGTTTATTCGTAAGATAAAAATATCGAATGAGTGAAGTACACTTTCATGATTAGTATCCATCTATCCTCACTTAAGATCTCAGAAAGGGTTATGTAAATGGACCACATGTATAGATGGTATTGGTTTGTGTGAAAACACTAAGCATTCATGTAATGACGTTCACTTATTCACCCTACCTAGTCGCGTTTGTGTTAGCTTAGTTCAGTATCGTCTGCTGTTTAACAGTTAGTCTACAGAAAAGAAAAGACATTTAACAAAATACTAATGTTTTGTATTCAAATGTTTGTGGCTTTTCATTGTAATGGATTCCGTCATACACAGTTCGCCTTCTTGATATCGAGAACGGTATAGGAATAACTGAAATCGTTTCCCTAAATCCATTTTCTTGTTGAATAAAAACATTTGGTTTACATCAAAACTTATTTTGATGTCAATTGCTTACGTTACGGTTAAGCAAATTATAGTGCCCAATTCCTATAACTCATGATTACCTACACTAGTCGTTTGAAGTGCAAACTTGACATCGCCTGTCCAACCGTGTGAACTATAGAGAAGACTATTACGTTTTAGCTGGTGACATTCTGTACGGATGACATTAAAACTCAATATTAAACACAACTTGTTTTCATCTCTTTAAAAATTTTCTGTCACTTATCCCTACGTTATCCCTATTAGGTGTCAAATTCATCTACCTCCAAATCTCCATAAGTCGTCCACCATTTCCTAAGAGACCGTTTTCAATACACTCAAAATTTTACAGCTTTTAAAGACAGAGGAAAATAGCCATTTTCCCTGTGTTCCTTGAATAGAGAGACAAAAGGATTCTAGCTACAGAGCTTCTAACATTCAAATATATCGGAAGTTTTGTTGGGTGTTCACAAGCTATTGGGTGGGATAGTTTCAGGAAATTAATGTCCTGCAATAGAGGCTGTCTACCATGGGCTGGGCTTTGAAGAATGCATATTCGTGCACTATTTCTGGACTTTCCCAGGTCATTAGATACGTTGCAGCACTCTGTACCTCTGGCTAACTTCTAGCAAGTGGAATTTACGGGATCATTTATCACTTAGCCAAGACTACCTACAGAACCAAGAATTTCACACCAAATTTAGTCGAGCGTGACTAAGGCGAATTCTGGCCTCTAGCTTTAAAGAGAAACTTACTGAGACTTCCATTACTGGCAACACTCATAGTTGATGCAAAGCTTCCAGGAAAACGGATATAAAGTCCTTGAAAAAAGTATTAACGCGTGCTTAAACGTGGGTCATAGAACTGAGGGACAAAACACCTTGCTAACGTGGATTTCTGTGGTCAATTTATAGGAGACTTTGAAACGTTCTAACAGTGGTGCATAACATTCTGAATTTTCCTATTTGTTCCAACAGAGACGTCCTGTAGTGGCTTTGGGCTCTAACCACACAATCATCAAAGCTGAACACAAGACAACTGGGAAAATAAATATCCAACATTTAAGGCGGAGAAAAACCCAACGATGGAGAAGCCGTGGACAATGAATTGAAGGAATTCGAATAGATCAGCATGGCTCAACCTCGCACGCATGATCACCCCGTACAATTCGCTGTTACATCAAATACTTTGCTCCATCTCCAACCTGGATATGTTCTCCAGTATACATTGGTATGTTACTATACGATGAGTCAGTGTAGACAAATGTGTGACTTCCACGTAAGATACTATAGACTAGGCAGCTACATCAAGACAAATCTGCAATTTTAGGATTAGGACTCTTATAAAAGCAGTACTAATATCATAGTAGACCATAACTCTACAGTCCTACACAAACCACTTGAACACTGAGAAGCACACGTTTTTCACTAGTGGTTGATCCAGCCTAAAATTTCCCAAACTCAATTTTTTCTTCAACTGTCTGTAGTGTGGCGTCGAATCACGGTTGACCATGATCACCACAAAAGAAGGTTGCGTACCAGATATCAGAAGGCGATTGGAGGTTGTAGCGACATATACTTGTTAGCGATCTCGTGGTATCGAAGGGATACCAAGATTGTGCCAAAAGAGTACAAGCGGAATCACTGAGAAAACGTAAGCGCGTGCAAGGTCACAATCAACGGAAAGAAGAATGCTTGTAGCACAGTCAAACAAACAAGTACAGTAAAAGAATCACTGGTACGACTGGCGATAATAATAAGTTTTCCATTAAACCAATCGCGTTCTCTTGATAAAAGTAGGTCACTACATATGTTACACGTATCCTAGTCGATTCTAATTCTAAACTAGTTAGGAGGCGATTTCCCGCAGACGCGAGTCTAAACTAATTCTTAGACTTTCGAACACAGTGTTTTGGCTTGGCGGAAGTCATAACATGTAAAATATCTGGCTTGGTAAAGTCTATCTGTTTTCGAACCGTAACTCAACAGCGTGAGTATACGAAGAACAATCAATACGGTCTAGTATAAGTGGTTATTATAAGCGAATAGACTAAACGTGGCCGCACGAAGTCGAAGAGACTTAAGGTGATAGTGAGGGTCCAACGCTGTAACTTATGTGCTCATCCATCGATGACATCCTTTAGAGCAGTCTCAGTAAGAACATGGTCACCCACTGCTTAGAAAATTCGAGTTGGAAAAGCTGGAAATGATAAAACCCTCGTACTTTAAAACAAGTGTTAATGTTGTTCTTATTACCATCATTACCGTTGATAAAAGCATTCTGATTGTCAACGTCTCTCCTCTTCATTCCTATTTTATGAATTATTATAGTGCAATCAACCAATCCCCTCCCAAAACTGTGATAATTGCAGAATCTAGCAATTCAAACCCTGTAGAATGAATGCATTTATTTATAACCAGGAAATAATTATTCACAATTAACTGTCAATTTTACAAAGACTGGCACAACCAAGTGGATTAAATAACAACACCGTGAAATACTAAAGACTTGAAGACTTACAATAATACCTAGAAGTTAAATTGAAAATGAATACTAGCTCATCAAAAACGTATTGGACAAGCTCTTGATTGGATATTAGTATGAATTGTGCGCTACTGTAATGTGGCTTGTTTATGGACAATCATTTAATCTAGTGCTTCAAGTTATTTCTTTCCACTTCTAGTTACTGAGAAAATTATCCTCAGAAAATGTCTTGAAAATCACACTTCAACCTACTTTTGACATTCGCCAAGTTTCCAAAGTTTTCGATATGAATCAGACGATTGAATAGTATGTAAGGTTTGAGTCACGGTTTTCAGGATTAATAACGGTAATAATCACATCTGCGTTGTAGTAATAAGGATACAAGGTCAGTGTTAATACTCGACACGTACGACTATCCTTGGTTGAATTCTCGAAAAGAAACATAAGTAAGAAGTTTATGATGGGTTTATTGGATATATGCGGCCACTAAAAATGTTCACTGTATCTAACAATGTGCTACTCCATGCCAGCTTTTTTTGCGGCTACTTCTCATTGCACCAGATCCTAATATGAATGTGAATCTATGTACAAAAACAAATTTTTTGTACATAGATTTAATTTAGGGACGAGCCAATCAGAAGCGCTTGCGCAATTTCAAGGTCACGGAGCCAAGTTCAACACGCGCTGGTAACATACGATCGGTTCACAGCGGATTTTGGAGAGTGGGTGATTAATGAGAAGTTACAACAGATAAGACGGTGAGACTAATTTAGGGACGAGCCAATCAGAAGCGTTTGAGCAATTTCAATTATTAGTCAATCAGAAGACAGCATAAAGTAAAAATATATTACAAGAAAGTAATAAATTACAGTGGATATTCTTCTTTGACATGATTTAAAAACTTGTATGTTAACATCATAACATTAACCCTCACCTAACTCTAAACCTAAACCCTAACCTTAACCTTAAATCCTCACCTAAACCTAAACCCTATCCTTATCCGTAAACCTAACCCTAACCCAATAGACGAGTTTCCATTCCATATGCATTGTGAATTCTGAACCTTAATCAAACCTTAACAAGTTTTTAAATCATGTAACAAGAGAATATCCACTGTAATTCATTACTTTCATATATTTTCATTTTATACTGACTTTCTTCTGATTGGCTAATAATTGTCAGGGTCACTTAAGATTCGTTCAAAGGTCGTCCTTAAATTAGAGTCTCGCCAAAATTTCCGTCACACACAAAAACGTCAAAGAACGGACAACTCAAACACATCCACATTATCATTGAGGATCGTAACTTTCATCGGTATACTGATGAATCCTATAGGATTCTGAAATGAAGTGACAATCGGCGGTTGTGCTGGTGTTTTTTACTACTTTTTAGAAATATGTGGTTTACTGGTATATGCGCGTACAATAGATCGATAATGCTCAAGACTTACTACTGGGCACATAAATGGCTTGATGAAAAACTCTGCAAGATCATCACTAATGGAATATGGGCCGAATATTTTACATGGGAGGAAACAAACCACCTTGATTGCTAAAACAGAAATAAATGGTATTTCATTTTCAAACGATTTCGGTTTGAATGCCACCTACATTTAATTGTGATTATTTGTCAACTAAGTATATATATATTCTTGTACATCCTACAGTTTAGTTTTCCCAATCCACATCCATTATTTTTCGATAGATTTAATTATCGCTTTTTATTTGATCCTGACACCCTAAATTACTTTCTATGTTTTTAGATACCCCAGATGACATAATTTTCATGATCAGTCTTACGCCTTCCTATCGGATTTTTTAGAATAGAAAAGATTAAAAGAAAACTCATCGGCAGTCTGAACTCGTAGGTGAACGAGTTTTTCTAGAGGTAATTACTACGATTAGATATTTTAGGTAATGTGCTAAGTGTCTTCTGTTTTATTTACTTACTCATCAAGTTATAGTACAATTTGAGACCAAAATATGGCGTTCACCATATAATTAAAAAGGTACTATTGTAGATAGAGGGGAAAATGAAGTGCAGTTAAAAGTATAACCAGAAAACTTCAGTTAATAGAACTACCCCTTCTGTAACGAATATAAAGAAGGACTACAGCGCGATCGCCATTGACTTATTTTGAGCCATGTTGGACAATGTTCAGAACCTCAACCAGTGAGTTGTGATAAACCAGTCTTAGACGGCTTTATCTTACTCCATGAAGCTGTGTTATAAACAGGCTAATTCTCTGCATTTTCCACCTAGCCCCATCACCGGTAAATAATGCGCGACGTGGGAATCTCTGGTGTGACACTCGTAGTATACTTCTAAGCCACCGAAGCGAGTGTTTCAAGATATTGACACAAATTGAATTACCGTCGTTGTGCACTAACACAATAACTATGTTAATTTTAATTAACAGGAAGCATTATTTCCCCCTTATAAATCAAGTTTTGCTCACAGTTTTGTATATTCATTTACTGCTAGTTAGGAATTTTAAACTGTTTATATTTTCTCGTAGCTTGTCGGATTTGCATTGAAAGTATAACATGGTGGATGCGGAATTCAAACGAAAACTAAATGAAATTCGTGAGAAAGTAGAAGATCTTTTTGATTTTGAAGGATGTAAAGTTGGTCGTGGAACATATGGAAGTGTTTATAAAGCTAAACTTAAAGATGGTACAGACAGTAGAGATTATGCGTTAAAACAAATCGAAGGCACTGGCTTATCTATGTCTGCGTGCCGAGAAATAGCTGTAAGTTCAATTATAATACAATGACAAATATTTTGTATGTATCATGTTTTAGCTTCTTCGTGAGTTAAAGCATCCAAATGTAATTACTCTACAACGAGTTTTTCTGAATCATACAACTAGGCGAGTATGGTTGCTATTCGACTTTGCAGAACATGATCTTTGGCATATCATAAAATTTCATAGAACAACTAAAGCAAATAAAAGTACAGTTCAAGTCTATGGCAATATGGTCAAAAGTTTAATGTATCAAATATTAAATGGAATCCATTATTTACATGACAATTGGATTTTACATCGTGATTTGGTACGTTCTAATGATAATTTCGTCTGTTTTTTTTTCAAGTCTAAAGAAATATTCGGCAGCCCAAAGACATTTTGTGAATGCACTTTCTTTTCAGTGGAACCGTAAAGAGTTTGGCTCCCCATCATCAAAGGGTTTGTCATTTCACACTGCACTACCAATAAGACATAGCCGTTGGTAGTAAACTGTAAATGTAGAACACAGGTGCTCTACTGTGATTGTCTCTGTTGTATTGCTCACCTGTTGTGAAATTACCCGGTTGTAAGAAGTGAGATTATTCGGTTGTTGGACTTGTGAACTTGAGTGAGCGTAAGTGGTGGTTGGGTTGGATTTACTGCTGTTAGTGGTGGTTTTCATATTTTGTAGGGATTATTTAATTAACAGGATGTTAAGTAGAGTCCTAATCAATTAGTGATGTGAAATGATATGGTGTGGCTTGGTAATCGCTGCTCATGAGACTGTATCTGCTAACTTATTAAAATCAACTGCGCTTAGAAAGACCGAACAATGTAACATGAGATTCAATTTCATAATTTGCCAAACAATGTTTTGTATAAAATTTTGTGGAATATTTTCGTCGAGCTGCTGATTTCATTTGTTTGGATATTAAATCTTCAACCTGTTGTGTGCGCTACTTATGCAGACAGACATGAGTAGTATGTAGAAGGATTTGGGAGTGGAATGCTTACCTGCAGAAAACTGAGATAAAGAGGAAATGGAAACAATGGGCAATCAAAATAACAACAGGATTAGAAGAATGGTGGGGCATGTAAAGGACAACTCAAGCAAGATGTGCAGATGATGTATTTAATATATGATTTTCATACTTTAAGAAGTACTGTGTAATTTTGCATTCAACAATAAATCCGTTTTCTCAAATGAGTTTTCGTTCATTACTTTTGGTGTCACTGCCTACGGAAAGGCGGAGAGAGGGTAGTTCTGAGGACGCCGTTGTGGGGCCGTGAGTGGAGTCGTTAGTTGATGCGGTCAGGCCCAGGAATCAGACATCAAGTGGAATGGCCCAGTGAGGCGGCGTTGGGTGTAGCATTCTCTATCGACGGCGAGAGGACGTGGAACGTCTTGGGTGCCGGGCTGATATTAGAGGTAGATAGCCCGGGAGACCAGCGCGCCGGCGGACTCGACACTTCGACGAGGAACGAAGAACAGACTGCGATAAAGAGGAAAGCGGCATGGAGAGCAGAACGACTGCAAGAGCGACCGTTTAAAGGGGGGTCGGGTGTAGTTTACGTTACCTACGCTGATAGATATAAGAAGTTTATGGTAGCAATCAGAAGTAGGATACCTGTCAGCATAAAATTGAATTGAAGAGAATAGGTGGGGAAACAGAGAAATTGAAATAACAACAATTAGAGGAAGTATGTAAGGGACAACTGAAAAAAGATGTGCAAATAATGTATTCAGTGTATAGTTTTCATATTTCACAAAGGCACTGTGTAATTTTGCATAAAACAATGAATTGGTCTTCGTTCACTGCAAACCTATCAGTTATTGGTTAGAAAGTTATTCAAATTAAAGATTTTTGAATATTATTACTTTTAAGTGGTATGGTAATCAGATTCTCAAAAGAACTAGTGGGCACAGATAGACGTTTGTGGTAGACCATTTCAAGATCCAAGATCTGATAGAAGACAGTGGAATTCGCCTGCCTCATTGCGACTGATTCTGAGGCATATCACAGGACGTCTCTAATCATTAGTTACGGCAGTCATGTGGACACTAACCGGGCATTCCGCACTTGCTAACGCATTTTCATCTAACATTCACTCATTTAGTAGACTGATGTTACGTTTTGGTTTTGCCACTTCAAGCTTTAGTTCAATATACTCCCACACAAACGGACATTGTTCGTCTAGCTAGGTGATCGCTAGACTTACGTAGTACATATCTCAACCACCTCACCCGATGAAGATTCATAACTTGCAATCTTTACCTACTATTCCTTCAGTATTGTTCATTCCGTGGCACTAACATACGCGAGTAATATTTCGAAACCATCTTTCTTCAAGTACACATAACCTATGAATATCATATGTTTCTGAAGATCACGTTTCACATCTACATATTACAACGGAACGAAACGCTGCTCAGTATACTTGTCCTTCAATTGACTGACGGACATCTCGCCTACTCCCCAGGAGAACTGAAACCATCATGGCTAGTGAGAATTCAAAAATAAGCTCTACCAATACCCTCCTTATCATCAGTTCACGCACTAATATAGAACACCACTAAAACAAAATTTCGTATTTAGGGGAAGTGTAATGCATCTTAAACAGTCTTTAATTTTTGCTTAAGATGATCGAAGGACTTTTTTCTGCGTCTCCACTAAGTAGGGCTGTCATTTATGTATTTTAAGTCGGTAAGTTAATCTTCTGTTAAGGAGATCAGTCCTTGAAAAGTCTGGGAACAGAAGCGTTATCTCTAAAATACTATCTATGGCAAAGTTAAGTAAAGTGAGGAAAGCGGATAACTCTGACGGTTTATCATTTCATTGACAGTTGATCTGAGCTATATTGGTGGATGCATCTTACTTCGTGTGAGAAGTCCGCATGGTAACTACTATCAGTAGCTGGACACGGGTTATATGGCTCAGAGCCTTTCTAATTATCGTCAGTGCATTCACTCTTTATCTTCCTCTCAGTCTTGAATTTCAGTACTCTTTCGTAATTGTTTTTCCAATCTCTTTGCGAACCATATTCCCAAGGTTTAATTTCTCCTCTTTTATTATTTCTACTACATTATTTAGATTTGTTTTGTTGTTTCCGCCTCGTGCTGATTCGGTATGGCAACTTAGACGAACCCACATTTGAGCCACTTTGATGTCTGTTTAACATCCCTACTTTTGTTACTTGCTTAATAATATAATTGTCTTTTTAATTTTTGTCTAGAAACCTGCAAACATCTTAGTTATGGGTGAAGGTCCTGATCGAGGTCGAGTTAAAATAGGTGATTTAGGTTTTGCTCGTCTATTTTATCAACCACTGAAGCCATTAGCTGATTTGGATCCAGTTGTTGTAACATTTTGGTATCGTGCACCAGAATTGCTGCTTGGAGCTAGACATTATACGAAAGCTATTGATATATGGGCTATTGGATGTATTTTTGCAGAATTACTCACATATGAACCTATATTTCATTGTCGTCAAGAAGATATTAAAACAAGTACACCATATCACAAAGAACAGCTGGAACGTATTTTTCGTGTAATGGGATATCCACCAGGTATGTAAGTTATTATTTGGTGAAACATTAATGATCAAGTGATATGCCACAGCCTAGTACGACCTCTGAAATGAAAACTTCTGATTTGACGATTCTGTGTTTTTGAACATTTTTGAGATGTAATTTTTCACCAAGAACTGACTTCAGTCGAACAATAACTTAAAGCCAGAGTACACTGATTATTGGTTTTGTGAATCTGTAGCTTATTGTTCAAAACACTGTCGTTTTTTGAGGATGTACACGGCTATGTAGTCTCATAATAGAACGAAGAAGTTACTCCGTTTTTCCTAGTTTTCAATGACACCACGAATAAAACCACTTTGTGATGAATAGTGTCTATTAATTATTTATTTACCAGAGAGAGCAATCCATTGTTATTCTTTCGTTACAATAGAAATCACTTTAATGTATAATCAAAGTGTCTGCTTCTTTGTTACTTTTATTTCTGATCGATTCAGATGATGCTTGGGTTGATATGAAAAAAATGCCAGACTATCATCAATTATTACGTGATTCCATAAGTAAGAAAACCTATGGTAAATATTCACTGGAAGGTTATTTTGAAGAGAAAAAATTCAAAGTGGATGAAAGAGAATTAGCTTTGGTAAGTTATTTTACAATTTCATTGATTTTAGCCTTATTTGATGTTTATTATTATTATTATTTGGATTGGTGATCCAGCTATCTTGATCTCTTTTCATTCGAATCTAGCAAACACGTGTGAAAGCAATTTCCCATCGTAGATTTACTTGTTCTTTCGAAGTAAAAAAAGTGTATTTCACGGCGTATCACCTGAAAGGGAATCCGGTTGTTGGATGTTGAGAACTTTCTTCAACCCATTTTTCATTCGTTTAACCACAATAGGATGATATCACATGATTTCCCGACCGTCGTTACTACCTTGACGTGGTGGTCGGGCTTGCCTATTGTGATGAAGCAACCGAGCTATACTGGCTGGAACAACTGTTCCTCAAGGTCCCACCATGTCAGACGGGTCGGTTGAAGAGCAGTAAGACTAAAAGCAACAAACCCAAGGTCCGAAGGCGAAGTCGTACTGCTGACTGTACAGAGGTGTTACAGCAGTAAGGTGTTTCCTCCAGACAACCAGCATGGCAGCGATGCTGTCTTCCTACAAGGAGGGGTGAGGTTAGAAAAGGTCGACCCTAAAAATGCACATCTTACCTTATCCCACGGATATCCGTCTCCGGCGGTAAGGTCTCAACAAGTACGGAGCTAACACAAAAATTACCCATAAAAAGGTGTGTGACCGACCTCAAGCAGTTGTCCCTTGGGCACTGCGGTCACGCTGCCAGGTCACTAAGACCACCTGTAATCCAATTTCCTTTTCAGGTACCTCCAGAAGAACCCTTCCACGGCGTGGGCAACCGGGAAGTGATAAGCGCCCTCATACCTCTAACAGCACTCAAGACCACTGTATTCATAATCAACCCCAGTCTTCACTTCCTATTACTCCTCCTACATCGACTTTCACCTCTAAACTTCCTTTTTTGGCTTCCCTCTCAAGTGTCACCATAGCCAACGATTCTAGTGCTCAAAACACTGTCCCAGGTCTACTGAAACCTTGCTCCAAACTACACATTGGAGCCTTCAACGTACGCACCCTATGTCAAATCGGTCAACAGGCTTCCTTGGCTAGAACCCTAGAATCTCGTACCATTGATGTATGCTGTGTCTCTGAAACACGCATACAGGATTCCAGTGTGGTCATTCACTTGACCTCACCTCGGCAAAACGGAGAGCCAACGAGATACACCTGCAGTGAACAAGAACACGGGTGGGGACAATCGACTGTATTTAGCACAAAGATTACAGACTATCTCAATAAAATGTGAATACCATAAAATCAATCGTCAATTTGCAAAATATCATTCCATCATATCAAACTGTACTGTTCCCGTTGCAAACACTAATCCATTGTCTCCCATTCCATTGTATATGCGTTTTCTTACAATTGCATTGTGTTCTTGCTCTTCCTTTCTTGATCTTCGCCATCTTCTGCTGCCGGACATTACGTTTATTTGACGCACGTTATATACTACTTATATCAATATAAGTAGCTCACACCACACTCGTCCCCCCCTTAAAGCAGTCGTGCTTGTGGTGCTTCATGCTCGCCGTGCAACATTCTCCGTCTCTGCAGTCTGTGCCACGCTCTCCGTCAAGATGTCGAGTCTGCGGCGCGCTGACTTCCACAGCTCTGTCGACCTGCCGGGGCAACAACAACCAACACCCACCCGGCACCTGGGACGCTTGACATCCGCACTCCACCGGCCTGCTGAGCCATCTACATCCGATGTCCGCCCAGCAGCCGTGCGTCCCGACGCTCCACTCCGTCGACAGCACCCGCTACAGCCAACGCAGCCCCGCCAGGACACTTCACCAGACGCCACCTCTCCGCACCAGACTGCCCCAACTAGCACCTCAACTCCAGGCCCGCAACGGCGTCCGCAGAACAGCACACTCCTCCTCTCCTGGTTGGCAGCGACACCAAATGCAGTGAACAAGAACACGGGTGGGGACAATCGACTGTATTTAGCACAAAGATTACAGACTATCTCAATAAAATGTGAATACCATAAAATCAATCGTCAATTTGCAAAATATCATTCCATCATATCAAACTGTACTGTTCCCGTTGCAAACACTAATCCATTGTCTCCCATTCCATTGTATATGCGTTTTCTTACAATTGCATTGTGTTCTTGCTCTTCCTTTCTTGATCTTCGCCATCTTCTGCTGCCGGACATTACGTTTATTTGACGCACGTTATATACTACTTATATCAATATAAGTAGCTCACACCACACACCCTCCGTGTATCTGGTGACCCGTCGACCAGCTCTCGTGGACTGGCAGGAGTAGGGATAGCACTAAACATGAGGGCGGGACAAGCACTGTTAGAGTGGATCCCCCGTTAACATTCGTTTATGTGCTGTTCGGCTAAACGGCTCCGTAAGAACTCGGAAGGATAGGGACACACGTCGTTGCCTTTTTGTCGTTTCTGCCTACGCTGCCATTGACTGTAGCTCAGATGAAGTGAAAGATGAATTTTACAGAAAGCTATCTGAACTTCTTCAGAAAGCTAAACGTTCAGACATAGTACTCGTAGCAGGTAGTTTAAACCAAACAGAAAGGCATTTAGGTGGATATTTTGGTATTCCGACACAGCGAACAGATAATGGTGATCGTTTGCTGTAACTATGCACAGACAATCGTTTATTTTTAGGACATCGTCTAACATGGCGACCCCCTGCACCAAACCAACGATGGACTCAAATAGACCATATTGCCATCAGTCATCGTGGGAGAGGGTCGGTAGAAGATTGTTGCTCATTCTGGAGTACCTGCTTGGACTCCGACCATGCCCTAATACGGGCACGCATCTGCTTGCGCCTCACTGGACGCAAAAAAGCCACAGTAAAAAGACCCATTAGAACTGAATTGAGTAGCGAGAAAACCAGAAGTAGGTTCCAGGAACAACTGAGGTCACACTTAGGTAGTTCTGAAGACGAGGCTGACCCAGATGTTGCTTGGAAAGCTATACAAACATCTGTGGAAACAGCAGTGACATCTATCAGTGATTTAAACCACAGGGTTACAAAGAACTAATGGATTTCCTCAAGGTCTATTGCACTGATGGATTCTCGTAAACTCATCCCATTAGGCTCTGAACACGATGAAGAGCGCAAACAAATCAGATCTAGGTTAGGCAAAAGTCTAAGGAACGACCGTGAGCAGTGGTGGGCAACGAAAGCAAAAGAGATGGAAAAGGCGGCGACTATAGGGAACACAAGACAGCTCTACAGACTAATTAAAGAAACTGGAATTAATAAATCAAGTGTAAGTCAGACTATTTCGGAAAAATACGACACCCTCATCTGCTCTCAGTCCAGACGTTTAGAACGATGGGCGGAACATTTCAGAGAACAGTTCAGCTGGTCTCCAGCTACCCTACAACTACCCTCCATTCCCAGACAGTGTGAATGGAACATTGAAATAGGTCCCCCTACTCTTGCTGAAGTTCAAAAGGCTATAGTTAATCTGAAACGAGGAAGGGCAGCTGGTCCAGACGGATTGACTCCAGAGGTATTTAAGGATGGTGGTTCAATTTTAGCGATTAGGTTGACTAATATCTTAAATAAGATCTGGGAGTTAGACGTTATCCCATCTAACTGGTCACAATCACTTATCGTCCCAATATATAAAAGAGGGTTAAAATCATCCTGTGACAACCATAGATGGATTAGTTTGACTAATATAGTATCTAAAATACTAGCCTCGATAATTATCAGACGCTTAACTAAGACTCGTGAACTGCAAACACGAGAGAATCAAGCTGGCTTCAGACCTGGTCGTGGCTGCATCGACCACATATTGACCATTCGTCAGGTTCTAGAACACAGGCATACCTATCGACGTCCGACGATGGTGGTCTTTCTTGACTTAAAAGCAGCATTTGATTCTGTAGACCGCGAGACTCTGTGGCAGTGTCTGTCATTGAAAGGCGTACCTCAGAAGTACATAAACCTTGTGAAGGCTCTTTACTCGAACACTACTAGTCGAGTCAGGGCTTATGGCGAACTGTCATCTACTTTTGCAACTTCAAGTGGTGTCCGTCAAGGCTGTCTACTTTCCCCATTTTTGTTTAACTTCATCATAGACCTATTGGGGGAAATAACATTCTCGTCGACTGAATTCTCGGGTATTGATCTCCTTCCAGGAGGTCCACTTACCGACTTAGAATACGCAGATGATATAGTCCTGTTTGGTGAAGACGCTGACAAAATGCAGAGTCTTTTGGTAGCACTGAGCAACAATGCCAGAATGTTTGGAATGCGCTTCTCTCCCTCTAAATGCAAGCTGCTGCTTCAGGACTGGTCTGCGTCAACACCTGAACTAAGGATAGGGAGGGAAGTAGTCGAACGCGTCGACAACTTCACTTATCTTGGAAGTCTGATAAAACCTAATGGGTTGTTGTTTGATGAAATCTCAGCACGGATTCGAAAAGCTCGTTTGGCTTTTGCCAACTTACGTCACCTATGGCGAAGGCAAGATATCCGTCTATCAATAAAAGGACGGGTACACTGCGCGGCAGTCCGTTCTGTTTTAATTTACGGCAGCGAAACATGGCCACGAAGAGTAGAAGACACTCGTAAGCTATTAGTATTTGACCACAGATGCTTCAGAAATATTGCTGCCGTCTGCTGGGATCACCGGGTAAGTAATAGTGAGGTTAGACACCAGGGTATTAGGGAATGACGGTAAATCAGTTGATGGGGTTGTGAATCTTCATCGACTGAGATGGTTGGGCCACGTATTACATATGCCTGAACACCGATTACCATGACGTGCAATGCTAACCGGTGTTGGAGATGGTTGGAAGAAAGTTAGGGGCGGCCAAACCAAAACGTGGCATCAGTGCTTGAAGTCACTAACTTCTAGTCTGAGACATGTTGGTAGATGCAGATTACCTGGTTGGGGTCCGCGTGACTGTCGTAACCAATGGTTGGAGACTCTTGGTGACATGGCTCAAAATCGATCACAATGGCGTCGGTGTATTCACTTACTGTCTTCTATTAAACTAAGAGATTAAAATCGCTTCATATCTTTCTTCCTACGAACTAATTCTTTCTGCCTGTACTGTATCCTTATTGCAATCTTTATTTTATATATTACCACCTCTGAATTAATTACTTTTATGAATCCGGTGTCCATCTTGTTGTGTTAATGAGGTATGGCAACTTGGACCGATGCATAAATGTGCCTGGTCCGACGTTGTAGCTGACTGACTGACTGATTGATTTTATGACATACATAGCTTCAATTCACTCGTCATTCTGGTTTACTTGCTATTAGTGGTTATTCAGGCATGTACTAAGTCCCCTTAGAAAAATTTGGACATTTCCACTACTTTTAGGGTATTAAATACATTCTATACTTTGTACGTGCATATTGTCCTTTATCCTACAATTGACACTTGGCCCATATTCACTACCAGAATACTAGCATTTACCAAACAGAATTGTAAGACCGATTTACTTACGGTTCTGAATTTAAGGTAGGTTTTTGAAATTGCTCTATCACAACCTATTCATCTATTTAGTTCAGTGAACTTCCTTCACCATGGTACTTATCTGTAGCCACGTATGTTTTCTGCCAAACATAACGATCCACGGACGGTGTTTCGTTGGTTCATTCTATACAGTTAAAATAATCACAGTCAAGACTGATACAGTTTCCTTCGTCAAAATTTCCCTCAGTAATAAGTAACTGTAAAATAGAAACTACTTACGGAAAAGTTGTTGCGCTGATTTTCAGTGACTTAGACTTGCCGCTTTAAGACGTGATTTTAGATAAATAAGATTGCTATCCATTGCTTAAGCAATTAGCGTACAGAAAACCCTACTATATGATCTGATTAGTTCCTTACTGTCTACGTATATTAATATATGTTGTAGATGGGCTTCACAGACGAGCATCAAGCAGCATAATATTTCAGTCAGTCACAACGTAAACCCTGGTACATATGTACTGCAGTTCAAATTGCCATACCCTGTTATCACAGAAAAATGAAATTGTCAGTCCAAATCCCAGACTAGTAGATTTAGTCTAAAGATTCTTTCTGATTACTTCTGAATACAGAACATTAAATACTTTTACCATGAAAATTAATATTTTGTAAGTAAAAATCAAACGTAAATAATTTTTCTAGACACTGTTGGTGACATTTCTAAGATGTTTACCATAGGTTTCTAAACATTACCCCCAACTCAAATAAGTTCATTGTCTGTATCAATAAAATCTACTGAATAGCTGTACTTTCACTGTGAAAAAAAAGAAATGAAAGGGATAATGATACATCTTAATTTTGACATGATATCAGGAAATGTTTAATAATTTAATAGTTAAATTCATGAGTTAATCTAAGCTAAACCACCTTTAAAAACCTGGAAGCACTGGACGGCCTTTTTATCCTAGTGTGGGACTCCTGAGCAGTGTGTATCCACGATCCCACACGTGGGACTCAAACCTAGGACCTTCGATCTCGCACGCGAACGCTTAACCTTTAGACTACTGATCAGGCATCAATGGTGGTCTAGCCTAAATCGACTCATAGATTCAACTCTTAAATTACTATGATCCCCACCAACCGTCATTCTGATACAAATCTGTAATAATTTTTTGATCATATGTACATTCTCTAAGCTCAGACGTTTGTTAACTATGGATCCCGTTAAACGTTTATCTGCTGCTGAGGCTATGGAAGATTCTTACTTCAAAGAAGGTGAAAAACCAAATAATGAGTAAGTGCGTTTTTTTTTCTTTGCATTAAATTGTTATTCTACAGTTAAAGTTTACATACTTTGAGTCCCCAAATGCTCTGGTACAGCCGATGGTGGGAAAAGTCAGCTCTCCCTCTCGAAATGCTCTCACATGACCACATGCATACAACCACTGTCAGGGAAGTACTACTCACTGCCCTCTCGCGGCGGGGGTGTTGTTTACGAAATTGAAAGGACGAAAAGCGAATGTCCGGCACTTTAACCAAGTCAGTGGATATGGAGAATCCACCGAAGGGAGTTGGAAGACCTTGATTCCAATCAATTGTACACATGGGCTCCAGGATCCTGGGAGAACAAATAGCGTATGAACCATTTATTGATCACCTGCTACCATGGGACTGCATCTCCTGACATTGCTCCACTGCCTTATAGATCAGACCTTTAGATTGAAGGCTCCGGGTGTGGCTTCCTAAGAAAATCACCTGTTTCGGTTTGGGCACCCGGGCAGTATCACAGCCCACACACACACAAATATGGTGTGGCGCATATATATTTACTGCCCTCTTGTACCAATATTTATGTGTTCAAATAAATAATAAATAAATAAATAATTGTAAGTATATGGTTGTACAGGTTATTATCGTATTAAAAACCAACTTTTGAACAATGAACTCTGTTCAAATAGATTACTTAGTATCAAAATAAATAGATATACTGATCGAATTATGGATAGTAACTAAGGTTTTATTGGTTGACCTGAGTCTGTTATCAGGTTTATAAATTACTTAACTTCCTAGAAAGTTATACTCCTTTAAATTGTTTTTTTCTATTGACCATCGAGCTATTCACTCCAATCGTATGACACTTTAAAAATATACTTCAGTAATCAATTTATCTATATTTTAAAAACATGTCAATTTTGTCTAAATATTAACTGGTACGAAGTTGCGGAGATTGTGGTATCTTCACTGTTGAAATCACGAACTAAGAAATCTTGGAGACACTGGACGGTTGTTCCAGGTCATAGATACACCCTGTTGAGAAGTCCCATTTTAAAACGAAACGTCCCGCCAGTACTTCCAGATTTTCAGTGATGGTCTCACTAAGGTCAGTTCGTAATTTCAACTGTGTAGACGTTAATTATTGAGATAAGAGATTTATGATTTTTCAAAAGGAAGTTAAATTGTTAAGTGGTTGGAGGTAGTTGTGGGGAGATCTTGTTCAATCTAGGTTTTATTCTAGTTAGTAATTGTCAGTAAGGCCTACCTGAAATCTCAAAGGAACTGATTTTCCTCGTAGGATTCAAGTACGCGACAGGTTAACCTGTAATGAGGTCTACGCTTAAATTTAATATTAATTTGTTAGGGGTGCTCTGCCTGTATATTAATTTAGAGAGATTTTCGTTCAGTTGGTTTAAATGCATTTTCCCGATTTCTATTCACGAACTTCCAATGTATTTTTCAGTCAGTCAGTAACAACATAGAACTTCGTACGTACGTACGTACATCAGTTCAAGTTGCCATACCATACTAGTACAGAGATGCAGGTGTCGATTCAAATCCTGTACTGGTAGAGGTAGTAAAATTATAAGCAGTAATCAGAAAAATTAGGGCTTGAAGATGTTATTTAAAGAGTATAATACAGTGAAATAAATTTGGAAAGAAAATAAGGGGCATGAAGAATTCAGAAGATTAGAAGTTGGGAGAACACAAAGAGTGGATGCACCTGCACCATTGTAAACGATTTTGAGCCATGTCATTCAGGGTTTCTAACCATCGGTCGCTATCATCTCGCGATCCCAAACCAGGTAGTCTGTACCTACCAACATGGCTCAGTCCATTTGTCAGTGACCTCATGGATTTGTGCCATGTTTTGGTCTGGTCGCCCCTAACTTTCTTCCAACCTACTCCTACACAATGAAATATCACACGTCGGGGCAGTCGGTGGTTGGGCATACGTAATATATGTTCCAGTCATCTCAACTGATGAAGTTTCACTACGTCGTCAATTGATTTGCCATCCTTACCTAGTACCCGTTCCCTAACAACTGCGTTACTTATCCAGTGGTCGCAGGATATACTAGCAGTGTTTCGAAGACATATATGATCGAATACTAGTAACCTACGAATATCCTCTACTCTTGCCGGCCGTTTCACAGCCATAAAGTAGGACAGAACGAACTACTGTGCATTAAACCCGTCCTTTGTTTGGTAGACGGATATCTCGCCTACGCCATAAATGACTCAAGTTGGCAAAAGCTAGTCGAGCCTTTTGTATCCGTGCTGAGATTTCGTCACACACCAGACCACAAGGGCTGATGAGACTTCCCAGATAAGTAAAGCGGTCGACACGCTCAACTACTTCACCCCCTGTCATTAGTTCGGGTGTCGATGCAACCCAATCGTGAAGCAACATTTTGCATTTCGATCGTGAGAATCGCATCCCGAACATGCCTGCATTGTTGCTTAGAGTGGTCAGAAGACTGCATTTTGTCATCGGCATATTCTAGGTCAAAAAGTAAATCTCTCGGTAGAAGTTCAACTCCTGAAAATTCAGATGAGGAAAGTGTTATCTCTAAAAGCACGTCAATGACAAAGTTAAACAAGAATGTAGAGAGTGGACAGCCCTGACTAACACCACTTGAGGTAATCAATTCTGATGACAGTTCGCCATAAGTTCTCACTCGACCAATTGTGTTCGAGTATTTTATTTGAGAGTATGGAGTTAGCTATTTGATTCACAGTAATATTTCACTACTATTTGGTTTGGTCTAAATTACTGAGTTGATAAGACTTTGTCATTAATAATAATTGAATTTATATGTTACTGTATCAACTTCGATATAAACCTTAGTCTCTTCCAATCAATCTTAACAAGATTCATCTTTCGTAGTATCTGTAACTAAAAGACAACAGAGGTGTTGTACATAGTCTAGTATCTTGTTGCTAAATATCCTACCTTATTCTATAATTGCATCACATATTTTTTTCTAGGCAATTATCATAACAAGTTCGTGTATTATCATTTTAGTTCAATTTGAATTGGTTTAAATTATCCCGTTGTTGATATTTTTGACTGAAATCCGTTCAGTCTTCGTTGGGATATGGATATCTTGTGTAGATTGTCTCGATATGGTTATTATAACATAAATTGATGTAGAATAGATAGAATCTAGCTAGGAGTGGAATCCTAAACTCGTGTTTCGTCCGATTTGGGACTCGTCAGCTGGACGCAACTACGTCTCAGAGTTGGTGTCCACTCTGGGACTCGAACCCAGTACCGTTCGCTCAAAACACCATCGCGTTATCCACTTATCTACTGGGTCCAGATAGCCATTCACTTGTGGAACGAGCAGGAATTTTAGCCGAATTCGTAATGGTTCGAATTGTCTGGCTGTTAATACTTTGATGAGTCTTAGTTGGCATGTAGGCATCCTGTTCTTGAAGTAAACGCCAACTCGGGCGCGTGTACATCCATCTGACGAGTCCCTAGTAAGACGAAACGCGCATCCTAGATTTGACTGCTAGCTATATTCCATACATTTTATATTCTCATTTCAGTTTGTTATTGATTTGTTTTTATCAAATATTATAGTGTTTTTGGAAATTTACCCATACCTTATCCTAAACGAGAATTTATCTCTGATGATGATTCTGATGATAAACAAACTGGTGCAGATAAAAATGTCACACAAACTGGACAACAACCAAACGCTACTGGAGGAAGACAAACTACAGCACATCCTACTGGTGGCAGTGGAATACATACTACACATCCTCAGCAACAATCTCAACAACAACAACAACAACAACAGCGTGGAAATAATGCTCCACAACCCCAGTTACCATTGCCTCAGCAACAACAGAGAACAAATGGACAGCCACCGCCACTGAATACACAGCAACAGCAACAACACATGAACTCGGGTCAATCTAATCCCCATACAAGACAATTAATTCATCAACAGGTCAGTATCGGTTGACATATGTTGTTTTCTTTTTGCTTATTTCTTATCATGTGAAAATCTACTGTATAACGGTTAATAATTGAAGATCAATTAAAATCATGTTAGACCACAATTTAAAACCTGTCAGCACTAGGTGACCGTTTCGTCATAGTATGAGAATCCCCAGCGGGAATCAAACCCAGGATCTTCTGTCTCGCACGTAAATGCTTAACCACTGGGCCACTAAGCCGGCATCAAACGGTGTTAATGTTTAGCTTCGATCAATCCATGATAGTGCGACCATCTTCCATTATCTCCAATGCGTAACTGCCTAACTTAGATAGGCTCACAATTTCAATTGAAATTCGACAATCTCCATAACTCCATACTGAAAAATAAGATCAATTAAATTCATCATTCTTTATTTCGTTCGATACATAACTATGATCAGGTAATGCCTTGGTTTTAGTGGTACACATGACACCCCTTGTATTTGAAGGTGTTGTAGTTTCTACGCTGTTTTGATTTGGTTAAGCTATGAGAATTTTTTCACAATTGTGAATAAATTCTAGTAGCTCATTTTTAATTAAGGTACGTACTGATGATGTCTTTCAAAAAGTAGAACAATAAAACCTTCACAACCAAAACCATCTATCAACTCAGAGATCACAATGCCCTCTAACTCCTTTCGTCTTGAACTTGTGACGACGGACCACCGGTGAACTCGAGGAAGCTGTAAGAGGCTCAGAAGGAGCCGAAGACGTCCCATCCAATCACCTTTCGGAAGAATGTCCTAGAGTTCCAACGTGTAGCTTCCAGATTGGATAATGCTAATAACCCCCTGTATGCGGATTGGAAGACTGTAATGATGATTTCGTTCTCACTAAAAACTATAAATACCTGACAATTTTGTACTATGATTGACACTGTTTGTAATAATATTCCTTTCGTTAGTCTTCTGTCTTCTTATTGCGAATTGGAAGGGTTTTGGTGTTCTAGTGCTCTGTTATACGCGGTAGTATCAAGAAAAATCAACTTTTTAAGATATAACAGAACTACAAATGTTCTCTATCTTCTCTTGTATTGTTTTAACATTTTAGTCACTTTAACAGTAAACAATCATTGAATGAAGTACATTAAACGAAGCATATGCTAATGATTTCTTTCAAAATAATAATTGTATATTTTTAGTGAAGATAATTGTACGCACAGATGGATAGTAGCTAGTAGTGGAGTCTAGGACGCGCGTTTCGTCCTATTTGGGACTCGTCAGGTGGATGTACTTGCGTCTCAGGGTTGATGCTCACTCCGGAACTAGAACTCAGTACCGTTCGCTTCAAACGCCATTGCGTTATCCACTTAGCTACTGAGTTCTGATAGCCACTTGCTTGGGAAGATTCAAGTAAACAATACCAAGTGAATTTAAACTTCACCCCATTGCCTGCCCTACACTCGTCCTTTTTAAACAGTCGTTGTTGCGGTTGCTCTGCTCACCGCAGCGCCTTCTTTACTACAGTCTATACCGCGTTCGTCGTGAAAATGTCGAGTCTGTGGCGCTGACCTTCGTAGTTCCGTTGACCGGCCGGATCATCAAAATCTAATGTCTATCCAGCAGCCATACGTCCCATTGCTCTTCTCTGTCGACAGCAACTGCTGTAGCCAGCACTGCCACGTATTCCACTTCTGATTGATATGATACAATACTTATGTCGAAATAAGTAGTATACACCACAGTCCTAGTATTGTAATGAACGGAGACTTGGGCAAAGGATTACACAGTGTCTTCGTAAAATATGAAAACGATCCATTAAACACAATATTTGCACGTCTTCCTTGAATTGTCCTTGACAAACTATATCATTCTTCCTTTCACATTTTTATTTCGGTTGTTTTCTGTTCTTCTTTCTCTTCTCTTCATTTTCCTCTTCTGTCAGTAAGAATTCTACTCCCACTTCCTGATACATACTACTTATATCTGTCCGTATAAGTAGCACGCTCTGCAATATGAGACTCCCCGGCTTTACACACTTACGACGCTTCACAGGATCGACCCCTAAACTTTCAGACCTCTTGGCGTTCGCGATACTTTTAAGCCTCAGATTTAGAAACCACGAACTATTCAATTAAACTGTAATTGTGTGCTAATTCGTGACCAGCTTCAAAGTCCCAATAAGTATTCACGTTTGGTAAATTTCAACCATGTCGAAAGCAAAACAGTTACCATGAGTTGGATTGGGTAATAGTCGTACTATACTACTCAGTTACAGCTATATCGAAAAAGTTAAACTAAGATTTAAATTTCAAGTCAATTGGTTGAAAGCATAATGCGGGATCGTGGATGCGCACTGCTGAGGAGTCCCGTAACAGGACGAAATGGCCGTCCAGTGCTTCCAGGTTTCCAACGGTGGTCTAACATCAATCGATTCATGATCTCAACCAAAAACTTAATAATCTCCACAACCGTTATTCTGATACTAATCTATCGTTCAACTTCATATACATCATGAAATCTAGTTAATTAGCCTAAGTTATTTTGTGCATATATATATATATATATGAATTCAATAAACTTGTTTTCACTATAAATGTATATTCACTTGTAGAATAATAATGATGATATACCATCTAATAAGCGTATTCGGTTATCCCAGGGGAATAATGAAACACCGATCGCACCACCGCCATTACCATCCTCCTCGACAACATCATCATCTACAACAGTTAATAGTAGTGGAATCTTACATACAAACACAAATAAACCCAGTATAACAGGACAGTCTCAGCAGTTATCTAATCCCACTACTACTACTACCACTTCAGGTTATGCGAATCTGGTAATTTGTGGTTGTTCGTTGTTATATGTTTGTTTTGAATGTTTTCTTATCTAACTATTTAAATATATGTATGCTTTCTATGTAAATAAATCTAGGCTTTTGCGATCGACTGTTAGTCATATCATGAATCTATCGAAGGTTTTTATCAGAAATCCTACACCTATTTGCAATGCCCGAGCAAGGGATATTATTTTGTAAAGCAGATTTCAGAGAATGCACTCATTTGTAGGTGCTATATGACATTGATGGATATTCACTCTCGTGTTTAAAATTTCTTATATTAAAGTTTACTAAGCCGATATCACTGACCCAGTTTTTTTCACAGCACATACAATTATACAGAGACAATATTATCGAATACATGAGGTTTACTTATCTAATCATCAATGTGTTGTTCATTGTTTGTTGATCCATAGTATAAATAGCTTAAAGCTAAGTTCTCCAGCAATTCCTTTATATTGATCTCGGAGAACTGTGTCCCTGAACATTTTCATAAAGCCTGTACATGTGTTATTCTATATCACTTAGGGTTGTTTTTTTCTATTTCAGCAACAACAACCAATGAGAAATCTCCCACCTGGTCATATGGGGCATCCGGGAACTTCTTATCCACGCTATCACCATTAGCAATCACAATTCTTCGTGGATTACTTTTTTGTATATATTAATATTTTTCTCAACATTTTCATAGTTCTGTGGCCAATGTTTTTGTTTTTCGACACATTTTTGTACAATGATTTTAGTAAAAATATACAGGTGTCCCAGTATTGTGATAAATTTAGAGGACAGGGAAGGAAAGCGTGGAACGTGAACCAGCTAGTCATGAGTCCGTTATCTGCTTATTTAGCTAATCACGTCACCTAGTTATCGAGATTCTAAACTCTAAATTAGTAAGATATTGGACTGTTTACCAATTATGACTAAAATTTACATGTAGTTCTAATTATTATCCCGTTTCACATAAACGTTAGATCCATGAACTAAATTTGCTTTAATCAACATCTCAACATTACATCACTTGTAACTGTAGGCTTGTAGTGACCTCATCTTACGTATCCCCCAGGATATGAAAACAAGTTTAATTTCATTCCCAGGGACATCCAACTAATGGCATTGAATCTAATTTTTCATCGAGCAACGAATGTTCTGTTGGTCGAAAAAATTATGAGTTACTGGTACTTAGTTATCACGATTCCAAATGTGCGAATATAGCTGAGTAATGCATAAAACTTCCACTAGGATCAAATGTAAAATAATTCAGAGCAGTTAGTCCTATGTTATCAGTGAGCTTATTTTGTCTGAATGATTGTATTTGATATCTATTCAGAATTACATTGCGTTGATGAGGGACAATAAGAGATCAATGTGAAACTTGGGTATCTAATCTTCGTTGAGTTTGTATGGTTCTTAAAATGACTACCTGCTAAGAACAGTTGTATTGTGACACTAATTTTCCCGAAATTTTCTGTGATTCATAAATGACAGTTGTCTTACCTTGTTCTTAAAATGTCACAGTTATGTGCTGAAAACTTATTATTTGTGGTTGTGCACGTAATATATTTTAGTCATATTATCAAGTGAGTCCTAAGTTTGAACATATTAAAAAATAATTAGGATTACTTATCTTAATCTCCGGTGTTGACTGTAGGTTTATAGATGTGGGATCTTGCATAATCTACTGACCACATGACGAAATTAACGATGCGAATAAGACCAAAACACTAATACAAATAAATTAAGTATGCTATCAAATGAAATACATTGACTCTTCGTGGTTAACTAGGAATTTATGTGACACTTGTTTGTAGTTATTCTTTTACGAAGCTTTACAAACAGTCATTACAAATTTTATAGTAATTTTTTACAGTAACTAATATACGGTATGCATAAATACAGATAGCTTAAGCAGACGTCATCTCTTTATGTTTATGATGTTTTAAAATGTACCGGAATAGGAGTGACAAACTTCAAAAACTATCGTATAGTTTCAGTGCAGTACGAATTAAGAACTTTTCTTCGTGTACATAAATATAAGCAACAGTAAGTTGCCCTACAAAAGGAATGTACTGATGCATATCAGGTATGTTTAAGAAGCAGCTGACTGTTCATACTACTAGAGATCAGCATATTCTACGAAGCAATAAAGTCAACGGATTATCCTAAACAAAGCACCCTATTTATAGAATGAAGTAAAATGTATCCATAAAATGAAATGACGATATTCACTGGAAATAATATTCACGCTTCGATTGAAAATCAAACAATTCATATTATTATTATTACTTACTACGTCACTTATTCCCTCTCTTTTACTCCCACTTTGTGTATCTTTTTTTCAACTTATACAGCAGCTCGCCTATGGTGGAAACTGTTCTATCTAAACGATCTCGAGTCACTGATTGGTTGAAAATTGAATGCTGAAACCACGTGCACCATTCAAACTGACTTTCTTCAACGTTCGCACACTAATGCAGATCGGATAACAGATAGGGCTGTCTATACCTTTAGAAAGTCTTAATATAGACGTTTGTTGTCTATCCGAGACCCGTATTCAAGACTCTGGTGAAGTACTACAAATTCGCTCTCCATCAATCGCTTCAAAAGGTTTGCTTTACGTGCGTTTATCCGGGGACCTTGTGGCATCTTCGTCTGGTCTTGTTGGCGTTGGTGACGACTGGCCTGCTGCTCCGGCAACATCGGTTGAACTGTCCTGCCCTCCATGGCCAGTGACGACTGATCCACCAAATGAGGCGGAAGTCCGCAAGGAACTCCAACTCTCGAAACTCTACAAGTCACCGGGCCCAGATGACTTACCACCGGCTCTCTTTAGAGATGGTGGTGACTTTCTTGTTAAGGAACTGTGTTGTTTACAAAGGTCTGGGAGCTAGAGTGTTCCAACGTCATGGAATGAGTCGATAGTTGTCCCTATCTTTAAAAAGGGTTCACGTCGTTCCTGTAACAAGTATCGGGAGGAAAGTCTACTTCCGATTGCGTCCAAACTATTGACTTCTGTCATACTTCTTAGGTTGTTTAAAACCCGAGAAAGACTGACTCGCGAGGAGCAGGCTGGTTTTCGTTCTGGTCGAAGGCGTATTGATCATATCTTCACCCTCCACCAAATGTTAGAACACCGTCATACTTATCAAAGGCCAACAATCGTAGTGTCTTGACATCGGGGCTGTCTTCGATTCGTTGGAAAGGACAGTTCTCTGGGATTGTCTATTGAGGAAGGGTGTGCCTGAGAACTTCATTAAGATCTTAAAGGCCTTATATACAAACACCTCAGTTAGAGTGGGGGCATACAACCACCTTTCTCCATTTTTCCATTCAGGCAGTGGGGTTAGATAGGGTTGCCCAATCTCACTATTCCTCTTCAACTTTGTCATCTATGACATTCTGGAAACAGCTCTGATGAATGTAAGTAATGGTGGTGTGGATCTGTTGCCTGGAGAAAGACTTCCCGACCTTGAGTATGCTGATGATATTGTCTTACTGTGCAATAATGCCCAAGGCATGCAATCCGCACTTAATCAGTGTCCGTAGGTATGGTATGTGCTTTGCACCTTCGAAGTGCAAAGTACTTCTACAGGACTGGCAGGATTCCAATCCTGTACTCACCCTGGATGGTGAGCAGATAGACGTAGTCGAGAAGTTCGTGTATCTGGGTAGCTGCATAGGTGTTGGTGGGGGCGTGAGTGATGAGATCAATACACGTACAGTGAAAGCCAGAGCTGCTTATGCCAATCTTGGCCATATTTGGCGCCTTCGTGATTTCAATCTGGCTGTAAAAGGTCCGAACTACAACACGTCAGTGAGAGCAGTTTTGCTCTATGCTTGTGAAACCTGACCTCTCCGAGTTGAGGATGTTAGACGACTCTCTGTGTTCGACCATCGTTGTCTCCGAAGGATTGCTGACATTCCATGGCAACACCATGTTAGTAATGCAGAGGTTCGGCATCGTGTGTTCGGGCATAGAGACGATAATTCAATTGGTGTCACTATCTTAAAACATCGACTTCGGTGGCTTGGACATGTTCTACGAATGTCGTCCCAGAGAATTCCACGTCGTGCATTATTTGCCGACGCTGGGACTGGTTGGAAAAAGCGGAGAGATGGTCAGTGTATGACATGGTGTCGTGAAAGAAAGTATCAAAGTGCCGGTTTTTGTTGGTCCTTCACGACTCCCTGTCTGAGGTCCGAGAGATGGTGCAGCACAGTGGTTAGAGACGTTATCAGATATGGCTCAGAATAAAAGCCAGTGGTGATCCTGCTATAACCTCTTACTTTCTTCATAACAAGTCGTTGTAACTCCCTTAACTGAAGGAATTCTTTCTGATTGTACCTTTCCATTTCCCCATTATTATTATTATTACACTACCATACACTAATCTGTGGTTGTTATTCTTCCTTTTTTTCTTATGCGCACCTTACCTTCTTTTTCTCTTTACATTCTGGTGCCCCCTTGTACCAATATTTATGTGTTTAAATAAATAAATATCCATACTATTAACTACGATCCCTACTACACAAGATTCGATTGCCAAATAACATGAGTATTAAATCGACGGGTTCCAGTTTGTGATGTATCGATAATTCCACTTCATCTCAACAATGACAACGGCGGAGAGAAGCAAGAATACTCTTGTAAACATGGTACTAAAAAGAAAAGAACTTCGATGGGCAAACAATCTAAAACTGAACGCACTTAATAAACATAAAATTTATTTTATTTATTTATTTAAGCACATAAACATTGGTATAAGGAGGCACCCAAAATATATGCGCCACATAAATCACTTGAGGGCTGGGATACTGCCCGGGTGCCCAAACCGAAACAGGTGGTTTCCTTAGAGAGCCACACCCGGTGCCTTTGACCTAAAGGTTTGGTTCACAAGACAGTGGAGCAAAGTCAGGAGATGCAGTCCCGTGGTAGCCGGTGACCAACAACAGGTTCATACACCATTTGTCCTCTCAGAGTACTGGAGCCCATGTACACCATTGGTTTGAAATCAGGGCTTTCCAACTCCCCTAGGTGGGTCCTCCATACCCACCAACTCGGTTAAAGCAGCGGACAGTCGCTCTTACTCCTCTCAATTTCGTAAACAACACCCCCGCCGTGAGAAGGCAGTGAGTAGGACTTCCCTGACTGTGGTGGTATGCACGTGCCCATGCGAGAGCATTTCGAGGGAGAGAAATGACTTCCCATTCTCGTCCGTACCAGGGCATTGCATCATACACATAAAAATAAGTCTGTTTGAGTGATTGACTAGCCGAGATGCTTCTAAAAAAACAAAATGATACTTGATTTGATCATCCGAAATTGAGGATTAATTCAGCCAAACTTATTATCATAGTAAAATAGCATGAAGACTGACCAACTGTTGTTTGATGTTCAGGATTCAAGATGATAAAGTGTACTCTAGCCATTCGAACAATAGTTAGATAGAATCATGAAGCACAACAGTAACCACCTTCACGGACATTCTGAAGACGAAAACCAAAATATTTTTGAAAGTCCTGGAGTCGATAAAACTGTCTAAATACAAATATATACTATCTTATAGATTATTACTAACTGATAGATTTTTCGGTTGCATTATTAACAAGTGAGACTCACAAGAACGAATACATCATTATAAGGTATTTCTATGAGTTTTTTCGCTCTAAAATCCCGGACGAAGTAAATATTTTTTGAACAGAAGAGTATGATCTACACTAATCAAGCTTATTGATGAATGAAATTTTTCTTAAAAATAAGTTTTCCTCAAGGTCACACATGCATTATTGATCACATCAGAGTAGTATAAAAATGCGGATTAGTGTTCTATGAAACTATATCAGTCAGAAATCGCACAAAATTTGTAAAGTAAAAAGTACAATAACAAAATACGGAAGAAATAATCTTGTTAAATTTTTAGTAAAACTGTATTCAGAAAAATACACTTAGTATCGGCTTGCATTTATGATATGGCTTTCTTGATATTAGGACTTGACAAAATTAGATTTTAACAATTTATCCCATAGATCTAATAAAGACTTGAGTGTATCCACCCATTGCCGGATTTCCATAGGTGTAGTAGTCTCCACCAATTGAGACATAGACCAATGGATTTTTTCACGTAGTTCTGTTAGTATACTAATTTCACTGCATGCATTTGTTGAAGTTTTTTTATTATCGGAAAGCGGTTTCATCTGAGCATCAGTGGATTTCTTTGGTAAACTACAGAGATACACAAAGATTGTAGAAAAGTATTATATCAAAGAATATTGTTGCTTTTATTAAACACTTTAGCAATACGTAATTTGTACAAACACACTTATACACTCTGTCTTACAACATAGCTTGGAAGTCTTGTAAAAAGGGCTATGAGGTGTATTGCGGGGCATACAACTACACCGATAAATAGAACGAATATGGTTGAGTGATGAGAGTTCTTGCTAACAAGCTCGAATTACATTAACTGTGAGAAATGATATTACTAAATTGTCAATACTGAAGAACATCAAGTGTAATCCCACAATTCACTGGTTAAGGATTAAATGCCTATACATTTCCAAGCCATTGTTCCAAGACGAATATAAGTCATATTAGATGACTGCGAAATCATCCACCCCACTTGAGTGGAACTACAGGATAATCGAACTTCAAGCAATTCAATGATGTTTGCTGTTGAAAGAAGCCCTGTGGTCATACTTTCAGATCATAAACCACTGCTCATAATTGTTGGTTCTAAGAGAACTACTGTAATAGACGGCTATCACTGCCGGTTTAATTAACAGATAGAGCTAAATATTATGCAGAGTAGGTCACCTTCTTGCTTAAAACAGTGTTACACTGTCTTATCAATCCGTGATGAAGTTATATGATGCAGGTATTGGAAGTGTGGTAAGTTGACTAGCAAGTAGCTAGACAATTCCTGTTTACGTTGGGAATGGACTGATCAAGGGTATACCCATGATAAAAATATTGAACTTACTGTGTGGCCAACAATTTTTGTGTTTCGTGACGTCAGAACATCTACGGCATCGTGCTTCAAAATAGACATTTATAAACAATCACTTCAGAAAAATAAAATGGTCGTAAATAAGAATGCTGACAACGCCAGTTGATTAAAATCTTGATAGGCAACTATATAAAATTTGTACCAAGTTCCAATCCCAAACAATATAAATTGGAAATAATTAATATCGGTAACAGATAAACATACTGCTTTCACCATTTGATTAAACGCGTGGTAAAGTCGCTCAACTGATGTTCATATATTAATTTATGTCGTTAACTCCAAGCTAGTTATCACCGTATAACAAGAACTCCATATTATGTTGATCATCAATTGCAGGATGATGCTATGGTTCACCGGCTTAAACACCTGACTTACAACCATTGGAGTGAAAAGTTCAAAACCTGCTCCACTGACTTAAGTTCAAGTAGCTAGGTAACAGTTTTAGCCGAGCAGTCATGGAAAAAAATCTGTGTGTATTCATGGAGCATAATCAAAAAGCTATTTTAATCAATCATTAAACTGAAGTTAAGTCATAACTGTTTTATGACAATAAATATACATACCCAGTGTCAACATCACTACGAAATGGTGACGATGCTGTCGAGAAATTTTGTGGTTTGTTCAGTAAGTGTTGGCTATCTAACAATGGTTCTTTAATAGAACTGGATTTTTCCTGATCAACTTCTAAGCAAGCTACGCAGTAATACTGACCATTTGGTTGTTGGAAAAGAATAGTCTGGAAAACACAAAATTTGATAGCATGATACAACTAACCTCACATTTAGGACAAGATTCGTTTAACATTCTCCATCCTTTCAAAAGATACTGACCCATAAGATTTGAAATCTTATCAGACCGTTGACGTTTTCTGATGTCACAATTTGCATATGATGAATTATGTAAAATGTCGTTTTCTTCAAGAGATTGTGAATTCATGATAATCTGAAGTATATTCATTAAAACATTTAAGCAATAACATTTGTTAGATAATAAATATTTACGTTTTCCGTAAAATAAGTACCTAGTTATGAAAATATGCTATATAAGCAAGCGTCGGTTAGCAGATTCAGCTGATACAATGGTGACAATGACTGAAAGAATGTGAATCATGAGTACAGGTCGAATTCAAACTAAGGTATACTATATGGTGTACCTATGTAGTGAACAAGAACACGGGTGGGGACAATCGATTGTATTTAGCACAAAGATTACAGACTATCTCAATAAAATGTGAATACCATAAAGTCAATCATCAATTTGCAAAATAGCATTCCATCATATCAAACTGTACTGTTCCCGTTGCAAACACTAATCCATTGTCTCCCATTCCATTGTACATGTGTTTTCTTACAATTCCATTGTGCTCTTGCTCTTCCTTTCTTGATCTTCGCCATCTGCTGCCGGACCTTACGTTTATTTAACGCACGTTATATACTACTCATATGAATATAAGTAGCTCACACCACACCTACACTGGATTAGTATCTAGAAACAAGTTATATGGATTTGATAATCAACTGTAATTTCTTTTGAGTCCTAACACAAAAATATAGTGATTTACTTATATTCCAAATACAGATTTTTGTACTCAGCTTGATTTACTTTTTTTACACGATAGGCTGACGATGGTAACAGGATACCCAGACGATTAGACGGAGCCTAGCTAGTCCAGTATTCTGACCAATAGGCCACCACTCGTTGTTTCTAACGTCCTGATAGCGAAAAATTATAACTACTACGTCTCAAACGAGTTGAGTTCAGGGATCATGATGACTTTCATCTCTGAATTATGGGAGCCCCAAATGACATCTGTCATACCAATGACAATCTGTGTCTTGTTACTGACCCAATCCTAGTGTTATTCCTTGAGAATTTAATTATTTACATGTCTCTATGGCAAGATATCATTTGCCCTCACATGCTGCTTCCTATCGCTAAAAAGTCCTTATTCTGGCTCCTACCTATACAATTGATTGTGAAGCTTTCCCGTTTCCCTCTGAAACCCACGTCACAGACAAAGTCTTTGCTGAGATCTATAAAGACTACACCTACATAAGTATTTTATATTTACATATTGTTCAATTTCCATGGGTTAACCTCGCGAAAACCATGTCCTTTCCTGAAAATATCTCCATACAAGTGAACTGGGGGAGAAGCACAAACCGTTTCCACTAATTTAACCACCATACTAACAAGACTGATCGGACGATAGATATTTAACAAGTTTACGAGGCCAAATTAATGACGATATCCTTCCAATACCTAGGCTGTTTTAGTAACATCGAACAACATTCAGCGGTGTGACAATTGCTTTGCCGGTGTATGTATTTTGCTACGTAACATAATGAGCAAAGACAAAACTAAAGGAGGGTTTTATGTTGAATAAACATATTATTAGTGGCTTTAATCAATACCATATTATTTGTACTATGTGGACTTCTCAGGACAAGATATTTCAAGTTTCTTTTGCAAAATGTGAAAAATGTGAGATAAACTGATAACTGCGAACATTCATACGTAAGTTAAGTGAATAATTTAGCTGGAATCATATTAAACGTTTTTTAAGATTTGGATCTGTACAATATTTTAATTAAACATATTTGGGAGTACAACAACTTAAGTCGTACGACTTAGGTTTAAACCTCAATTGAGGTTTAATTCAACAAGAACGTGTAACTTACCAGAAACAGCAAAGGGCTTCTACGTTCACTAACTAAAATTTATAGGATATCGAGTTAAATCAAGTTATTTTTATCTACGACTGAACAGCAATATCAAAATATCTATGTAGCACCAACACACTCTATTGTTATCGCGTAACGTCCAATATTAAAAGACTCCTCAACATTAAATGATCCAATTTGTTGAGTGATTACGATGCTCTGTTGGTTCTTCACTATCTAAATTTGTCTATAAATTATTCACCTCTAAATATGAAATGATTTGTTCATTTGTCACCGTTGGTGTCTAACCAGAAGGTGCTTGATGCGTTATAGGAAGATTCAAGGTGGTGTAAGAAGGGTTCAAATGGTTCAAATGGTTGTGGACGGAATAGAAGAAGCTTTCGCTTAACAGGCTTCCGTGTCTAGTAGCAGGGGATCACCAAATCCTCCAGGCAGGAACCTAGGTATGTTAGCAATAAAAGAGGAAAAGAAATTGGTAAATCATAGTGCGATGCTGTCCTTAGTCCTTAAGAATAGGTCAAGTTGCCTCTTGAAGGACTCCTGAGAAGTCGCTTGGACTAGCTCGTGCGGCAGCGAGTTCCAGCTTTTGACAACTCTTAAGGAGTAGAAGTTGTGTCTACATTCCGTCTTGCTATGTTGTGTTTCCAGTTTCTGGGTGTTACCCCTTAGGTTATTGTTCGAACTAAGCTTAAGTAGGTGTTTAAGAGGATGTCCAGAAGTGTTAAGAATACTATAAGCCATTAATAAATCACCTCTAAGACGCCTATATTCTAGTGGGTAAAGGTCTAGTGAACGGAGGCGTTCTTCGTAAGGCTTAGATTTGAGTCCTCGAACTGATTTCGTGGCTCGCCGTTGGATACGCTCCAAAGTGACCTTATCCTTTTGGAGTGAGGGGGGAGTACTATGTTTCCGTACTCTAAATGGGGACGGATGAAACTATTGAAGATTGTGTGGAAAGTTCTTCCGTCAAACTGACCAAAAATGCGCCTCAACGTTACCAGTGCAAGGTTTGCTCGGAAGGCATTTTTGTCACAGTTAGCGTAAGACTTTAAGTCATGGGGCACCAGGACTCCTAAATCTTTTTCGACTTGGGATACTACTAGAGAGGAATAGAGAACAAAAAGACGATCACACAAGCTTATACAGCACACTTAAATTTATTACGGAAAGAAGTAACGATCAACAAAGCCTTACTTCCAAAATGTAGCTTGTAACAGATGACGTTGTGCGTTATTAATAGTGTTAGGTGTCGAAGGATGGTTCTGTAGTGTATGGTTTATGTCAACATTTTGATATCAACTTCTCCATGTACCACCCCCTAGAAGTTCTGTCATATTGTTGCCATTGATAGCCAGTCCAATAGGTTGTGAAATCTGCGACGCATAAGGTTTGGGTGTTAGAGAGGCGGCATTTCAGCTCCGATGTTGAAGAGAAGGAGACCAGAGTATTCAGAGGATCTGTCGGTAAATTTATATAAACAACTCGGTATATCATTCCGTAAGTCCCCTAGCCACCTTGGCCTACTAATGTTTTCTACTTTTGCTAAATGGTTTTTACTTTCTACAGTTACCGGGTATGAACTTAAGTACGGGAGAATTCAGTAACACTAGTGTCCGGGCCCTTTTTAGCCCAATACCAGGAAAGTTAAAAAATTCGAAGATGTTTGAGCTGGAATATATATTTTAATCATCAGCAAAGGTATAGTGTCGTATGTCATTTATCCTCTTGAATGAATGGTCAAACTAGTTGTTTAGATTAAAAATGTTGTAATCCTTAATTTCATGATTGCCATGCACAAATTTATGCATAATATACGACACTATGGTTGCTCTACACGGCATGCATGGAGCAGAATTGTTGGTTGAAAAGAATACACGGAACAGGTTGTAGTTAATTATTGAGTATTTAGGATACTTAAAACGTTAAAGAAAACAATAAAGCTATCGTAAGAACCCACCTACGTATTGTTTTGTAATTCGTAGCTTTTTCTCGTTTTGAGTTCGCCAAAATGTAACTGGTAAGTGTACGTTTGTTCGTTGTCATGTATGAAATTACAGTCATGTAATGTGGGAAGCAGAAACAACTGACAGTCACATATAAGTTTTAATGTCGGATGTCTGGGTGTCAGTATCAACTTCAGTTTAACGCTGTGCAACAAAGAGAATACTAAAAATCTCTGCGAAATATTTATTTGGTCAAGAGTGTTATTTCTTTGATCACTACCTGTGATCTATATTTCAAATTTTATTAGGGACTCGTGTAATCATAGTTTTATATTACTAAGTCTTTTCCGACCAGGTCATTATTATATAACCCTGGTTAACAGTTACGGAATGTTAATATGACACCGCGGGACGCTTTGCCATACCCAAAGTTACAGCTTTGAGCGTTGGAGCTTTTGTTACTCATAAAGTGACTGCTGATAAATGTTACTCGGATCATTGTATATAGGTATCTATTAAGAATATATTCATTTCATTATGAGCTATTTGGAATGGTGATTGAAATGTATGTATTGGTGTTCATTTTCAACCACACGATCCTTGATAGTAAACATACGATAACTGAAAAGATTTACATTCAAGATTTGGAACTTAGAGAAAGTCAGAAAAATGGTGAACGCGGGAGAACTTTATCGGTTTGACATGACACAAGCATGGAGTGTAATCACCCTACGTAACCCATTCCTTTTCATATTACCATGTCCCCAACCCGTGTTCTTTGGCCGCAACCACTGGCTCCCTCTGGACGAGTCAGTATAGGTGATGATGTTACATCCACATGAGGTTTGATAAACTAGGTAGTCCCATGGTGGTAAATATACGGTGTTGAGATTAGGTCCATTATTTTGGTGGCATAAATAAGTGTACTAATACCAACATAAACCATAATCTTATATACGTATGGTTTCGCATTCAGTTCACTTAACCTGGATTCCTCCTGAGTGTACTGGCGGTCTTAATTTCAGGTGTACGAGAAGCATTGGACATGGATTTCTGATCCAGTCCCTTAAAAAAGGACATTAATAAAAAGCTTTTACCAGGAAATCCTGCTTTGGAAGTTGAAGGGTTCTTGTACAGATGAATTGTGACACATAGTGATGAAAGCCGAGATTATTCAGAAGTCACCATGCCAGCGTGCCGTCTGGCAGCCAGAGCGACAACAAACCTTGGCACACTAAATGTTCACACGATATCGAAGACTAGACGAACTAATTGTATGGCAGCAGAAATGAGAAAATGAGACCTGGCAGCGTTTGGAATAAATGAAACCAACGGACATACCTTGAAAGAAAACTAGGCTCGAGATAGGAGCTCTTTATAATAATAAAATGATCATTACACTAGGAACTTCTCTGAAACTCTCAAAAGAAGCGTGTAATACAACTCTGGCGTGGAACCTCGCGGATTTAGGATCACCAAAGTATCCTTCCAAACAAAGGAGGGGACTACAGTGAAGGTTATTCAATTTTACACTCCTATTAGCGATGACGGTGAAGATGATAGAAATCAGTTCTATGAGACTTAAATCGATCGTATAGAACTAAACATGTAAGGGCCTGTCCATTCCAGTGAGTAGCTAAGCTCCAAGTTCGATATGGACAACACTGAGTATGAGGGAATCCTGAAGAGATATGGATTGGGGGGAAAGAGCGAGAATGGTGAGAGACTGATATAACCATTCGCTTTCAGCAATATGGCTGTAGGTCACATTTCACAAGTGCATGCAGAAGGTTCCACTGAACCATGGTACAGAGAAACAGACCATAGTTGTATCAACATAATATTCCGAAGGTTCGTGGAAACATGAGCAAAGAGAGGAGAGATGACGGAGCTTTAGACCACCACCTAGTAGTGGGCAGGATAAAAATGAAGTTAGGGAGAAGCCATGTAGTCCGACAAAGAGACTAATGACACTTACATATAACTCTCTTTTGAGATGTTGGTAAACTCAGATTATTTAAAATCACTTGTAGAATTGTGGTTTAGGTCGGTATTAGTCCACTTATTTATGCTAACAGAATAATAAACCTAATCACAACATCGTAGATTTACCACTATGGGACTGTAAGAGCTTAGGTTAATTGGTTAAGAGTTGACTTCAAACAACCAAGTATATGTTAAAACAATAAAGCTCAGGTATTCACTCACTACCTTATTTTGCATAGACGTTATATTTCCTATTATCTTATGTTGAATGCTGAAAAGCTTTGTGCGTTTGAACAGGTAATCCCCCGCTCTACTGTGACTGTCTGGTTTCTGCTATCAATAGGACGAGAGTTACCTACAGACACGAAACTGGTGAGCTCTGTGTTGAACGCAAACTTAATGTCATTTAATTATTACTATTATTTTTTACTTAGTCGTAAAACTAGACCTGATTATCCTTAACCAATGTTTTATATATATATATATAGTTTTTTCATCTTGAGGTGTTCGTGTTATGGTAATCATTTTGCGTCCTTATTATTGTACTATATTGGTCATTCACCTCATGTTAGAGCCCATACGAATCCAAAAACTGGAAGATTTGTCACCAGTGGTGATAGACACCACTCGACCACTGACTATGAGTACCACAGTTCAGTTTATGGAGAAGTGGGGAACGCCGTAACTACAGAGTGGTGCATCAGTATTGTCTTGAATGTAATGAATTTATTATTTCTCACACTATGTCATTGATATTAAGTATCAACCCGGACAGTACATACTGGTTAATGGCAAGGAAAAAAGTCCTAGTCATCCCTAACAAATGGCTGCTGAACAACGAACATTTTGTTTATCGAGATGGTGTGATTGTAACCGATAATCTTGATAGTATCGATTACGATAGTCGCTTTTCTTTGAGAAATTCCACGGTATTGCATCTTTGTGGTGTGTTGCAATAACTTTGATTTCACTGTTTTCAGATGGCTACAATAAACTGAAGGAACTGAAGGTATCTTTTTCTACTGTACTCGGTTGCAAATGCACCCGACGATGACGCGCTTCCGTGTGGAACAGAGAAGCTGAAAGGGTAAATTCATAAACGTACGCAATTAATTTGCTGTCAGGGTTGTCAGATGCTAAATGAACGAGTACTTGTGCACGTATGAAGAACTAGAGGTTGCTGAAATGGAAGCTGCATGCTCACCAGTGGATTTTCCAGTTGTCAACATTTTGACTGAGAACTTCTCA